TCGAAGCCCCTCGTTGGTGGTCGCGGCGCGATAAACCGATTAGGCGCGATCGAACGATTAATATTCCGGAAAATTCAGGAACTCCTACCCTTTCCTCGGGAAGATTCGAGCGAGTTTCCGCGCCGAGATTGGCTCACGACTTCGTCCGAGCGTGGACGGAGGGCCGTGCTTGGACGGAGCACATCAGGGCCGAGGAGAGTGCTCAGCCGCCCTCGGAAATCGCGGAGGAACGCCTCGAGTGCGCCGACCCTCTCCGCCTCGCCCCTGCGCTTCGAGGCTACGAACTATCGACCAACTGGACGGGGCTGGTTCGTTTTAAACCGGAAGTTAGGGCCGCAAAACCCCCAAGGCGAGCCGACCCTTCGACCGAAGGGAGATCGGCGAAAAACTTTCGATCGAATTTCAGCCGGTCCGGAAACGCTCCATATCGCGCGACTCTCATCCCCCTGTGCGAGGCAGTTACCCTCCCGTTTTGTCCGAGCGCTCATGGTAAAATAGAACTTTTCCGTCCTCTTCTCAGGGTCGAAGTTAGCGGATAAGTGGAAATCTCGAAGCCTTCGAGTCGACTGCCGACACCTCCAGTCATTTTTTCCATGCCGGGGAAGGAGTTAATATCTTTCCTTGGGTGCTTACATCTGGATTGCCGAGGAGGAACCTGCGGAAATCATTCCGCCGCGGTTCCCGACCGATTTTTCTGCGGTTCCTCCTCGCACGGTTCACGCGGCGCGACTTTTATGGGCGAGCGCTCCGAGGTGCGGAATCGTTCCGGCATTCCTTGCGTTTAGGTTAATCGGGAGATTGCGGGAGCGTGACGACAATTTCTCTCGGATTTCGGACGGAAACTCCAACGTACGGTCTCCGCGGGAAATTCCCCTCTTATTCGAGCATCTCCCCCGCGGGGTGGTCGAAATCCGACCCCTCGACGCGGACTTCCGGGAAAAATAACTTGCACCCCTCGCCGACCAATTTTTGCTGACCTTTTATGAGCAATTACCACCGAAACAAATTTTCCGCGGCTGACTTTAACGGTCCCCGGCAGTACTTCGGGACGTCTGCTAACTAGTGCGCGATATCCCTGCAACTCGAGCCGATAATGGAGCCGTGGAGAAGGCTCCGGCGAAATCGTTACTTTAATGCAAAACTCGTTACGGCGTTTCCGGCAAAATCGTTTACGCAGCCCGGAGCGAACTTTGACACGGGGCGGTATTAATCGGGGCGTTAAAGCGATTTTGTGAAAATCTGGGGGAAACAATTGCACCGCGAATCGACCCTACGCGCTCCTTTGCTCCCGGGATTGCGATCGCACCTGTCGATAAATATGACCGTACTATAAATATTTCTCCTATACCAAATCCGAAATTTTTTCGGCTCCCTTGAATGCCCGTCCGAAATGACGAATCGATCGCCGATATACCCGGAAAGATTTCATCGCTTCCCAATTACGCGTCGGCAATCGTTATTTTGCCCCGAAATCATTAGCCCCGCTTGTGATACGGAAGCAATCGTTTGCAATTTACATCCGGGGCCGGACATATCCGTCCCGGCGATCCGATAAACCGATTTGGATAATTTGGAAATACGGAGTGCAATGCTCGCTGAAAGCGCGCCGCGCGGTTTCATTGAGCACTCGTTAAGCTCGCTCGGACCGTACAGAGAATGCGGCCCGAATCTCGGTCGACCTCGTCATTGTTCCAAAATGCACCTGCACATCTCATAGAATGTTTCATCTTTGCGAAAACCTGCTGGAATATTCAGAGCCGGGTGGAGAGCTCCATGAGCCCGCTTCCGCACCCCCTTGGTTGATAATTAATTTCGGCGAGGTTCGCACGTCGCGATGTTTTTACGATTTGTACCGCGGTCGGGATTAATTTCGACATACGTTTCTCATGAACTCGCGCCATTAATTCCCGCGACTGGGGAAGATTCCGGCCCTTTGGAGCGGAGGTTCCTGCGCCAGGCAGGTCCGGCTTAAGTGCGGTAAAAGGAGCCGGTTCAGGTTTGGGTTACTTCAATTAACGCGTAGGTGCGCCCCTGGCGATCCTTTAAACCTCTTTAGGTAATTGTGAAGAGTAAAATGTATGAAACATTAAGAGAGCGCGGTATGCTTTTTCGCAGGGCCTCTTGTTTCCCTTGCGAATAGCTCGCGCGAGCCGCAAAGAAAACCCGCGAAACTCGGTCGAGCTTCCGTCGCTATTCCGCATTACACCTGCATCGCATTCACGGTCCATGGGCACAATGTGCACTCCTCGCGATTTTACCGCGGGACCTTTACAGGGATCCGGAAACTTATCGCACCTGCTGTTTCACTCGTTCATATTTTACTAATGGTCCCGATTTCCCTACGAATTACTCGCCGGAACGATCACTCGCGATTTACGTTATTGCACCTGCCCTCGTCGAAATTTCGCTAATGGCCTCGATTTGCCGATGAATTAGTTTGAACAAAATCGGTCGTTTGCGATCGGTGCTCTTTACTGCCGCCGAACGAAGTGCCGGCGGGCTAATTTCTTTGTAAAATAATTATTCTCGATGGACCGGGTACCGCGATAATTAACGGTAATTGCGGGACAACGTTTGACGAGTTTAATTAGCGGCTCGAAAAAGGTCTCCCCGGGAAGACATTTTCGGGCAGAAATTTCGACAATTCCCGGAGACGAAATTCGCCGGCTGATACGTTTAACTCGTCGGGATTTCATTAACGTTCGGGATTCGGCGATGAATAATTCGGAGGTAATTGGATCGCTGGGTGCATAAAATCTGCGGGGCATGACGTAGTTTGTATCGAAAGGGCGGAGCTCAGGGCGCAGAGGGTGAGAAGTTACGGGGCGCATTTTATGCCGTCTGGCCAAAGCACGTCCTGTAAATCGGTAGGGCATACGATGTGCAATTAGGAGGTACAATATTTACCATTCACCGATACGGCCATAGCTCAGAGCCGGCCGCGGGATGTGCTACGTAATAATTCCCCGTTTATGCACTCCATGGGGTGTGAATCGATTTCGAGGGGTTCGATGGCAAGGGGACTTTTTTATCGGTCCCGGCGCCCTTCCACTCTCGGATGGAATTTTTCCGTAATCCCGGGCCAATAGGGAGCCTCGAACTTCCGGCGGAGATTTATAAAGTCCCTAAGTGATTTTATAAACTTCTCGGGCGAATCTCCCGAAGGATCCCGTTCGGCGCACTCGGGGATACGAGAGCCTCGCCCCTGACTCCAGAGGAGCTTTTAAGACGATCCCTTTGTGACTCCGAAAAAGCTTGGAAATCTTTCCACGGCTTTGCCCCTCATTTGCTGGCAAATCGATTCCGCCGATCTTCGTCGAGATTCAGAGAAATTACGGAAACCACCGCGCTCCTGTAACGAGAACTCTTACCCTCGCCGAAATCCCTCCATTTTCGAGTCACCGTGTATCACCCCTTTAAGCTAAATCCCGATCGCGGCGGGAGACCTCCCGGGGGGCATTCTCGAGAAGCTCCGGAAAAGCCGGGGATGCAAATCGCGTGGCCGTTAATCGTATGCAGGAGCTTAGGGGGTTCGGGGGCGTAGTGAAAAATAATGTCACCGAGAACAAAGTCCGAGTCCAAGTTCCCCGAGGAGACCGGGAGGGTGCACGGAGCCGCCCTCTCCAAGTGGCTGTGAGTTAATTAAGACGGCGCCGGTGAGTTATTCTCGCGGCAAATAAGACGTGACTCCGGACCCGGTCCTCCCCCGCGAACTCGTCGGGGATGGAAGAAAAATTGAATATGCAGCGAGGCCCGCCGATCGGTAACCCCGTGACGCCCTCGTGTGGAACGTACACCCCGGAAGGGGTGCACCTTGCAGCCCTCTTCCGACTAGATCTCTTTGAGAGAGTGTTACCCTTTTATGCAAAAACATCCGAGAAGTCCCCGAAAATCCACGGCTGGACGGAAAGGACGAAGGATCTCGCGCCATTGCTTCGGATATCGGTGCAGGTAAGACGGACGGGAGAGAAATGTGCGTCTCGAGCGGCCGCGTGCACCCGCGTGTATCCGCGTGCATCCAAGAAGGCGCCGGCGTCTCTCTTCGTCTTTCCGTTCCGGGGTCCTTGAAGAATGTGCACTCAGCATGATTGGTGCTCGCCGCTTCCCGCAGAGCGGCCGCGGAAGCGGAATTTCCCTATTCCGCGCGCAGAGAACGCGTCTTGGCCCGGCCCGGTCCGGCATCGATTTCGTTACTTTCCGCGAGGTAGCACGCTAAAAAAAAATATTATTCTCGTGATTTGTACGTCCAGAGGAAACCACGATAGCGGGCTACCAAAAGGTCCTTTCCGACTTCCTCGGAAAATAAAGTTGCGGAGGATGGTCCGAGGGATTTAGTCTCTCATCTGGGAAGTTCTCGCAGGCCGGTTCGTTTTGCCGGGTGCGGAGGTTGTTTCGCCAGATGTCTTCGTTATGAATATTTACGAACGAGGATTGGGACCGAGGGAGGACGGCTCGCCGAATCGCTGTGGAAGGACTGACAGCGGCTCGGTAAAGCGGGAGCGAGGAACGGAGGCCGAGAGAAGTGCTCGTCGAATTTGGGTTAATGCACGGAGCGCTATTTTTGCGGAAAGGTGCTTCTCTCGGCCCGCGAGCGGGTTTCGGGAACGCAGGGTATCGGGTCATGAGGAGACTATTAATCGTCGCGGGGGACGTCGAGATCCGTTCCGACGGTGCGTGACACGACTAATTGCTGGTAGATACCGCAGGAGCCGGGAAATTTATGAGGAGAAAGAATCTGGCTCTTCCGCGGACCTGCCGGCGGATCTCGAAATAAGTAGAGCGCCTCTAATTTATCAAAGCCTCGGATTACGCCCTCGATCGCGAGATCGATGTAAAAGTACCAAATCGAGATCGCTCGTCTGTTTCCAGCGTTCAGGGAAATCGAGACGTGTCTTCCTTACGTAAGTTCCAATATCGAATGCACTGGGTGCCCTGTGAGCCTCAGAAGACGACCAACAAGACCTCGAATGGTCTCGCGGACGTAGTCGTAAGCGTGCACCTTTGGTGTATAGAATTCTTTATTCCAATATCATATCGGATACGGAAGAGGAAATACGTAGTTGCGGGTAGGTATTTTTTCAAGAAAGTGTCTGGACCTCCTTGATGAGCTCCGGGGTGCTGAGGACAACGCTCGCCGCTCCCGGCAGGCTCAGCTTAGAAGTGTCAACGGGCGATCCAGCCTGAATTTTGGAGTACACGCTGGCGGTGTAGACGCTCAATTCCTGCGGGATTTCGAGCTTGGACTGGGCGTCGACCACCGTGGGCGAATCCGAAAAGTTGACCAGGATGACCACCGGTGGAGAGTCCTTCAGACGACGGACGATGCCGAGGACGCTATCGGTAACCAGAACGTTTTCCAGCGAGCCATTTTGGAGGACCGGGAGCTTGCGGAGCTTGACCAGATCCTTGAAAACGCTATAATGCGAGACCGGAGCTTTCTCCTCTGCGGCGAGGTTTAGGGTTTTATAGTTGGGATTGATAGGCAACCAGGTCTTGCTGGCGGTGGAGAAGCCGGCATCTTTGGTGTCGTCCCACTGGAAGGGAGTCCTCTCGGGATCTCTGGACTTGATCTTATACTGGATCGGTCCTGCGGATAGCCCGGACGGGTCCACGGTGTCTTCCCAGGACACGTCGGTGTCCTCCATGCCGATCTCGTCCCCGTTGTAGACGACGGCGACTCCGGGCAACGTCATCGCCAGAATGCTGGTCTGGTCCGCCCTGAGGGTGCCGAATCTGGGCAGAAGATAAAAATTCGTCATTCTCGTAAATCATCGTGGTCTCATCGTAAATCACTGAATTTCCCACGAATTCAACCATACCTAGTGGCCGCTCTGGGGTTGTCGTGATTCCCGACGACCCAGTTTGGCATGTAGTCCCCGCTGGGGATGTTATCGATCCAGGTGTCGATGGATTTTTTGAAGTCAGCGGCGGTGGACTGATTGTTGAGGCCGGTGACGAACATGAAGTTGAAGGGAACATTGACTCCGTAGCGGTAGTACTTGGTGACGTCGTTTATAGGGGCATAGACCTCCGTCAACATCAGCTTCAAGTCCGTGTCGTGCTCCTTCGCGTACTCGTTCAGAAGTTCGCGCCAGGATTTAATGACCTCATAGGTCTGCTGAAGGTTTTGCGTGTAGATGTGGTCCAGGCTGTCGCTGTCTCCAGGCGTCAGGCCGGTAATGTTGGAGGGTGGCTCGTCCAGGAACTGCGAGTCCTCGAACATGAAGTTGGCAGCGTCGATCCGGAAGCCTCCGATTCCGCGCTCCAGCCAGAACTGCAGGGCGTTCTTCATTTCCTGGTTCAGGTACGAGCTGCGGTAGTTGAGGTCGGCCTGGGTAGGTCCGAATTGGTGGAGGTAGTACTGCTGTCGTTCCTCGTTCCACTCCCAGGCTGTGCCGGAGAAGATGCTGAGCCAGTTATTCGGGGGATACCTTTTACCGTCGACGACCTTAGCGTCTTTCCAGACGTAGTACTCATCGTAAGGCTTGATCCGCTTCACGCTCTTCTGGAACCACTCGTGCTGGGTGGAACTGTGGTTGGGCACGAAGTCCAGGATGATCTAAATTAAAATGATCGTCTACATTGGGATCAACCAAGAGGAACTGCCCAAGCCGAACGGCCGATCTGGTCTTACTTTGAGTCCGACAGAGTTGGCCTGGGCAATCAGGTCCTCGAAATCTGCCAAAGTGCCGTAGATGGGATCGATGTCCGTGAAGTTCGACACGTCGTAGCCGAAATCGACCATCGGGCTCCTGTTAATGGGAGAGATCCAGAAGGCGGCAGCCCCGGTGTCCTTTATATGGTCCAGTTTGCTCAGGATCCCCTTCAGGTCCCCGACTCCATCTCCGTTGCTGTCCTTGTAGCTCCGCGGGTACACTTGGTACACGATGGCGTGCCTCCACCAGTTCTGATCCGCGGTTAAGACGGACGTCACCAGGGAGCCCAGAAAGAGGCCTAGCAATGCGACAACTCGGAGCGACATTTTCGTCGAAATTACGACTGTGTCCTGGTGTTCGGAGACATTGCCTTTTATAGCGCGTAAAACGCGCCTTGCGGGAAATTTTATCCGCCAAATGACATATCGGTCGTCGAAGACGCGAGAGTCCGATAAACTGATGATGATTACTTATGAAATTACGGACTCGTGCCTTAATTTCCATTTCGTCCGATATACCCTGCTTAGAAGGTAGCTCGTGCATATTTATCGTGTATCGATAATTACACGCCACACATATTCTAGCATTCATCGCGTCTTTCTCCGAGAGCGAAGTAAATTTAAGCAACAATTATTCATTAGCGAGGAGGAAACGTTTCTGGAAGCAAGAAACGAGCGTCCGCCGTTTCCTTTCAGGGAGGCGTTCTCGTCTTTTCCGTCTCAAAGGGTTCCTTTGGTCCCTTCGCGTCGTCGTCTCTTATTCATTTGACGACTCGTCCGCGCATTATTTTCCCTCGAACGGTACCTCGTTCTAATGGGTACCAACGTTTTTCTCGAGACCTCGGCTTGGATCGTTGAATTACCTCGGATTCGTTATTCGGTGGTTCGCGCCTTGTCCCGGATAACCTGGAGAGCGGTCTCTCGTCCTCTCCGCGCCTCCAGCTTTGTAAAGTCGTCTGCAATCCCGGGATCTGACTCCTTTCGGGAGACATTCTGTCTCCATCTCGGCGACGCGAATCGTATAACGAAACACCAGACACCTTCGAGACTCGTTTACGAAGTCTGCCGGCTTCTCGGAGCGAGAAGGAGACGCTCCCGGTCAAAGCAACCGAGAAGTCCGTCCTTAGTCTCGCCTTCCTTTCCGTTTCCCTGCAGATTTCCGTTCGCTCGACCAGCTGGGAAAAGGCGCATAACCTACCCGCTCTGAAATGCCTGGAGAAATGATTGAGATCCAAACCGCCGAAAGTGCAGAAAAGTGCAGAAAAGTTAACGAGGGAGAATCTTCGGATGAGGAAACGGTCGTTAATGGCCATTTATGGGGTCGTAGAAAAAGCGACGAAAGCTTCGGCTTTGGGAAAATCGTAAAATCGGGTCGTGAATTATTCGGAAGGAGCGCCACGGATTGTCGGCTCCCGAGAGCACCTTCCCTTAACGCCGGCGCGCCTCCATCCCTTGATAACTCGGGGAAGTTTGTTATATGCTTGTAAGTAACAAGAGGGTAAACACGGTACGTGCGAGCGTACCTTTCGTACTTCATGGGCGAATGTTTACCGAGCCCACGGTTAAGGCTCAACAGGGATCAGTTGGTCAACTAGTTACCTACCGGCTCGTGAAATGAGGTCGAGGGGAGCCTTCTTCCTGGACACTTTCCACCCCGAAGACCCACGAAGAGGACGCGGTGCCGTTTCATAAGTAGAAACTCGACGGAGTTTCATGGTGAATTAATAGGCTACTGAAACTTGCGGAGAGGGAATTTTTCAAGGGAGGACTTTCGCGGGGATCATTTTTCCGCCTCCTCGGCAAAGGCGCTGGAGCAATTATTTACCCAATGGAAGTTTTTGCAAACAGGGCCGCGTTTAAGCGGCGCCGCCGCTTATCGCGGCTTTATGAAGGCGCAAGGGGAGCACTCGAAGAGGCGGCCTGCACAGCCGAACGAACTGCAATGTTGCGAGAACTATTACGTGGCTCGGCAAAGCAAATCCGAAAACAAAGATAACGGAAAGAAAGAATGCAAGGCGTATACTTTAAACCTGTTTACGCCGCAATTACCTGCGGAAAGAACGATAAGAGAGCGGAGCCCTTCGGGTGAAAACGCAAAAGGTACGCGAGATAGAGGGGTTCAGCCCGATGTTTACCGCTCCATCGAAGTAAATCTTATCGCGGGTTAAGTGGACCTCGTATGGCGTTGGCGTTCACCCGCGAATGCGTTATTATGCCAGGAAAAGCGGAAATTTCGTCCCGGAAGCAGCCGCGATGGAGTCGCGCTCGAGAGGTACTCCACCGGCGACGATCGATTGGAAAAATCTGGAGAGACGAATTTTTCGACATAATCGAATGATTCCGTTCTACCGAACGGCTCGGGTGACGCGATCTTATCGACCCTCTTCTTCGAGCGAGTTATCAATTCTCGAGCTCTCGTCGAGTGTTACGCTGTAGTCGCGATACCATCGATTATATCTCAATCGGAATTTTTTGCGCTGGATTGGCAGCAGCGCGGATATAAACCCTCGATTTCTCTGGAGGGCGTCAAAGTGGCGTTTTCTGTGAGAATGTCGCTTCACGCCGTGACGTTGTGCCTCTTCCTGGGGCTGGTGGCGTATTCCGCTGCAGCGGACAAGAATTGGAGGAAGAATGCGCTCGTATATCAAGTGTACCCCCGAAGTTTCAAAGACAGCAACGGGGACGGGGTGGGCGACTTGAACGGCATCACTAGCAAGCTGGAGCACATAAAAGACATCGGTGCCACCGCCTTCTGGATCTCCCCCATCAATACCAGCCCAATGGTGGACTTCGGCTATGACATTTCAAACTTCACGGATATCGACCCGGTTTTCGGCACCCTGGCCGATTTCCAAAAATTGACGGCTCGAGCCAAGGCCCTAGGACTCAAGGTAATTGAGATTTTTCCTGATCTCGGACAGAAAATAGGAGAATAACGACTAATTGCGGTGTCGCCATTCTTTATAAGGTGCTCCTCGACTTCGTGCCCAACCACAGCTCCCACGAGCACGAGTGGTTCAAGAAGAGCGTCAAGAGGATCAAGCCCTACGACGAGTACTACATCTGGAGAGACGCTAAGGTCGTCAACGGAGTCAGACACCCGCCCAATAATTGGCTCAGCGTTTTCTGGGGATCCGCTTGGGAGTGGAACCAGGAGCGAGGCCAGTACTACTTCCACCAGTTCGCAGTCGGCCAACCCGACTTGAACTACCGCAGCAAGGCTCTGGACCAGGAGATGAAGAACGTCCTGAAGTTTTGGCTGGACCGTGGAGTGGAAGGTTTCCGAATCGACGCCATCAACCACATGTTCGAGGACCCGCGATTTCTTGACGAGCCGCGCTCCTTCCTTCCTGGCGTGAAGCCCAACGAGTACGAGTACCTGGACCACATCTACACGAGAAATCTTAACGAGACCTACGATGTCCTCAAGTCCTGGAGAAACCTCTTGGACCAGCACTCGAAACTGCACGGGACCGACCCGAAGATCATTCTGACGGAAGCCTACACGTTCATGCCGTTGACCATGAAATACTACACCTACGGATCCAACGCTCCCATGAACTTCATGTTCATAGCCGATCTAAACAACGGGTCGACCGCGTCGGACTTCAAGAGAACCATTGACAACTGGATGAACAACATTCCCGATGGCGAATATGTGGCGAACTGGGTGGTCGGCAATCACGACAACCACAGAGCGGCCAGCAGGTTCGGAACTCTCAGAGCCGATCAGCTCAACATGCTGAGCTTGATCCTGCCGGGAATCGGCATCGTCTACAACGGCGACGAGATCGGCATGGAGGATAACGTCATCTCCTGGAAGGACACCGTCGACCCCGCTGGATGCAACGCCGGACCCGACAAGTACCACCTGAAATCCAGAGACCCGGAGCGAACGCCCTTCCAGTGGGACAACACGAAGAACGCCGGCTTCACCACCGGCAACAAGACCTGGCTGCCCGTCCATCCTAACTACAAGACCCTGAATCTCGCGGCCCAGAAGAAGGTCCCGATCTCGCACTACAACGTCTTCAAGTCTTTGGTAAGGCTCCGGCAGCTCCCGGTCCTCCGAGACGGCGCTCTGGAGAACATCCTCGTGCACGACAACGTCCTGGGCATCGTGCGACGTCTGCGAGGCTCTCCACCAGTGGCTCTGCTGGTGAACTTCTCGAACTCCCCGATCGTCGTCGACGTCTCTACGAGGCTCAACCTCCCTCGGGTCCTGACCGTCTACACTGCCAGCATCTACTCCAAGATCCCGGTTGGATCGCGAGTGGACGCCTCCAAGCTGACCATCCCAGGATCGGCATCCATCGTCCTGAGCACTCCCTCGCTCGGAAAGTACCTGCAGGCACTTTAACGGCGACCTTAATTTACTGATTATTTTAGCGTCTTTGGATGAGTAAACCGAGTCGATGCTTAAAGCTCAATTGGTTTCAATAAATTCCAGTCAAGTTCCCTACGTAGAACTTCTCGTAGAAGAGTTGTCCGCAACGGATCGACGCGACGCTCTAATTCCGAAGGTGATTCTAGGATCGTGCCCGACCACGGCTCTTAGAAGCGAGAGTGTTTCAAGAAGGGCGTCAAGGGGATCAAGCCCTGGGACGAGTAGTAGTCTGGGGGGACGCTAAGATCCATAATGATACTAGACGGCACTTCCGAGTCTTAGCCTCAGAGTCGAGCTAGGCACGAAGCCAATGCTACCTTCTTCGGGCCTCGACCTCCACGACCGATATTGCGACGTCCTTTTTAGGTTTACCCGATGACCCACTAGCTCCCGGTACCCCGGTACCCCAAAGAGCGTCCCGGGTGGAGGTCTGGCGAAAAGTGGAGCGGATCGGGCGCGAAAGTAGGAGGGTCTGGATGTCGGTCGACACCCGGGGCGTATGTGCGCTCGTCCGAAGAGGTCCTCTGGGGAATTCGCGGTTTCTAAACCGAGGGGGATGAATTCGCTCAATATCTCCGGGCTAGGCGCGGGGGCGAGACGCCAGGGACGCCTCGCTCCGGGCGGGAGGAATTCAAAATTTCAGCGGAGGAGGAAGCGAGCGCGAAGGTTTGACGCGTCTCGAGAGGACGCTCGTCTACCCAATTAGCCCGTGCTCCAGGAATTCGACGGGGGCGCCGGTCGGGCTCGATCCTACCTTCTTTCGCGTCGCTTCCGGCGCCGGCGGCGCTTCCGGCGCCGGCTCGGCCTTCCGGCGTAGTTTCCCCCGCCGCGTCGGCACGCTAACCTCGTTTCGTCCCGAAAACGATCCGACCGGATCCGAAGCGCGACTCGCGTGCAACTTGCGAGGCCTCCTCTTCCCGAAAATAATAAAGGAAACGGTTAGTCCTCCCTCGCCGCGGACAACGAGCCCGGCGGCATGAATTCGAGGCTTTCCGGGAACGACTCGATCGCGTCCAGGTTGCGGGAAACGGAGACGAGGGACTCGTTCCCGGAACGGCGGCTCCGGCTTCCTAGCCGATGCCATCGCCTCGGCTTTACGGCGCGGATGGAGTCCGCTGAAAATACCGCAGAGGGGGCGCGGACGAATCGAGAGGCGAATTTACGGGCGAAACGGGGTGCTCCGGTCTCTCGTTAACCCGGTTTAGGCCCGGAAACGTCGACGCCTCGCCTGACGGACAGACGCTGCGCCAGACGCATTCGCGGCCGCTGCGATTGTTTCCAAGATGGAGGCCGCGTCTGTGCCCGAACTCATTAATTCCTCTCGATTCTACCTCCTCTTCGTTAGCGAGGGATCGATACCTCGCGGCATTCGAGTCTGAGAGGAAAACGCGGCGCTCGCGTGCTCTCGTTAGCCGACCTCGCGAAGCGCCGAGTCGCCCTTCGACGGTTTGTCCCCCGGGAGTCGCTGCGGAAACCGCGGAAATGGCCCGCGACGTCGACGCTGGATCGCAGGGGTAATGATCTTTTGAGTCCGGGGCGTTATTAAAATAATTAGTAGGAATAATCTCGGCTCTAATGGCGTGCCATACTTAAGAGCGGTCGGCGGCGCCGGGCATAATTAAAACGCACCGCCGGGCGTCGGGACGGCGCACTCCACGCACCCCCTCGCTCGACCACTCGGCCTCGCTGCCCTCTACATATTTCACTCCCCTTACCTCCCGGATGCCGCACCTTCGCTTCTCACCTCTCGATCGAATCGAATTACTTCGCCTCGATTTGCCCGCGAACGGCTGCCGGGACCTCCGCGAGAAGGGGAAGCGCGGCGCGGCCAAAGTTAAATATTTGACGGCAACGCCCCCGCAAGAGTGGGTACTTCTGGAATTCGCCGACTAATTAACGAGGGCGCGAGACCAGGGGCGTCGCGACGTCGATTAAATCGCGCGTCGAGCGGACCAAGACCCTCGACCGCCTCTTCGCGGATTTTCCCAGTCCCGGGCCCGACGTCGATCGATCCGCATCGAGGCGGAAATCGCAGAAATCCCGAGGACGACCCTCGAACATCGACCTCGCTCCCTCGCGAATTCTCTCCTTCAAAGGGGATGTCTCCGTTTTCGAGCCGAATTTTTGACTTTCAGGGGTTGACAGGCGTCGCGAGAAATCGCGGAGCTCTCCCCCGCGCGCGGGGTATCGCGAAAAAATAAAATTGGACCGAGAGCCCCTCGACCCTTCGCAAACGTTCCATTTTTCATTTGGCGATTCCGCAATTTCGGGCAGTTTCGAAGCGCACTCCGCGAATGGAGTCCGGTGTTTAAATAGACATCACGCTACGGCGAGGACCGACCGGGGCGGCGGATCCATCATTCGAAAAATATAGTGGATTTTTATGGGACGCTTTCGGGGGGGATTGGAGTACCTGAAACGCACTAAATCTAGTATAATCTAGAGGAGGCAGCCGGCCACGCTCGGGACGGTCGATATTTTACTCGAAAACGAGGATCGCGCTAAACGAGCGTCCGTCAGCGGCGATATTATGTCTGAATTATTGGCTCGTTCGCTCTCGCGCGCGTCGATTAAGCCAATTCCACGTCGACGGGGGAAAAGAAAGAGGTCCATTGTCGGCCGGAGCGCCGAGAATCCCCGGCTAATCGCCGGCAAATCGCGCGCCCCTCTCCGTTTCCGAGGGAAAAAAGGCCTCCGAGGTTCTCCGACAAAAGTCCCGTCCCGGCGCCGACGAGCGCCGCCGTTTCTTGCAGGACCATTCGTCGCAATGACGTTAATGGCTCGGCCATCGAGATCCGCGACAGATTCCAGTCGGTCAACCGATCCCTCGAGGCATGGAAGCACGATGGGGCCGAGAAATTGAAAAAGGACCTCGATCCCCGAGTTTCGAAGCCGATGGTACTTTGTACGGAAACTCCGGTCGTTCCTGGCGATAAATGGACGCCCATCAACGGCGGAGTTATTGACTGACTCACTTTCCTCGTTTAGACCAATTCGCCGTCAATTCCGAAGAAACGGGGGAATTATCGCCCATCAGCGAGGTCGACGAGGTCGGGGCCCTTTAAACCGTGCGTGTAGACTCGATTGTCAGGAATGACAGAAATTGGGGTACAAAGGGTCGCCGGTCCGAGATCGATCTCAAGCCGGTCATCAACGAGAGGAAGTTTAGGCCAGTTGCGTCGATTAGGCGACCGAGGCGCCGGCAGGCGTCGGGACGATGACACTTTTTCATTAAAATGCAAAAGACCGGCCGCCCCGGAGGTGAAAATCTTTTCATAATGCTCGGCCCTGCATTCCCGTATTTCTCGCGGTTCTTCCCGCGAGTTCTTCCCTTTTTATCATTAACCTGACTCCTTGAACCGATGCCGCACCCCTCGGGGCCGGGCCGAATGGGTAAACGCACGCCGGAAGTGCCGTCTGGAGATGTGAAATAAGGTAATTGCGGAACTTTCGCGCAATAGCTGTAGACCCGTCGTTGCAACCAGATCCTTTGGCGAACTACCCCGCCGCAGGGGACCGGAAAAGCATTAAAATTCATGGCGCTACACTTCGGCGACCTGCCGAAAACTTAAGCCGGGCTTCCGGAAAGTCCGCCCCGAGACCTCGGATGAGTCGGGCATCTTCCCCTCCCGGAATGCATCTTCGATCGGCGCGTTCGTTATTCCGGGATGGGATGCGTAATACCCTCGACTTGTCCGCGAAAAGAGCTATTCGTTGTTTCCCGGATCTTCGATTTCGAGAGGTACTCCTCCGATGCGCCGTGCGTCTTCCTTCCGGAAGACGTTTTGTTGGCCCCGACCGGACCGGAAAAGCTCGAGGGGACCCTCGTCAAAGCTCGAACAGGGGAGCGGGGCATTAAAATTCATAGCTCGATGCTTCGATGCGACCGGTCGAGACCCGGAGCTCGTCTTCGGCTCCTCTCCGATGCCGGCCAGAAGGTGTGCCCAATTAAAAGGAGCTTCCGGGCTTCCGAGCCGATTTCGGTATCGAAACGAGCGATCCTCCCGGTCGGGGCACAAAGGAAGCCGCCTTTGTGGGGAAACGAAACGCTCTTTGGTAAAGTCAGCACGGATCTCTCGCCTCGTTAGAGCCTACTGCCTATACGTGCTCCCTGCGTTTACTGTGCTCTGCTCTCGTGGATTTTGTTCCTCCTGGACGAACAAGAAAAATGTCGGAGGGCCCTCGTCAGATTTTACACCTCGCCTGCGGAATTTTAATGAACTCCCGCGCGCGTTTCCTGTCGAAAATGCCGTTCCGGGGAAAAAGTTGCAAACACGGTATTGTGCCGTAACAAAAGAACGTTAGAAAAGGATACCCCGTCATCGACCATGGCCCGGACGTTTTATCGTTCCCATCGGAGAAAAATTCGATTGATATCGGGAAAGCGCGCTCGTTTCGGGGAGGAGGGAATTTTGGATTTTCCCCGATTACCTCGGAAAACGCTCGCGAGGCCCTATATGTGTACTTTCATGCGAAGGATCAGAGGCGGACAGGACGCGATCAAAAATCCTTCCAAGGGGATCCGTTCCTCGGGATTTCTTCCGGAATCGCGGAGACCATTTGACGGGAGGCAGATTTCAATCATGCGAATCGGGAGATTTGCCAAGTCCTACGTACGTAGCCATTTCCGACAGTGGGTCAGAGCTGTAAAACCGTAATAAACCTCCTCGCTCTATTGTTTTACAATCCCGTAGCGGAGCAATATAGCTTCGACAAGGTCTCCGTACAAGATCTTCCGATTCGCCAAGTAATCAAACTCTAATACGATCGGGCCGTAAATTTTCCGAAACGATTCCCGTAAAGAACCGCGATCGTACCTCCGAATGTTCGCTCGGCGAGGCGTAACCGGGAATTCGGTAAAAACGTACGACTCGAGATTTATTCCTCCTCCAAAACGGTTCCACGGAAAGTCACCACGTTTTGACGAAATATCGAGGGGTAAATCGAAATCTGCGAATCGAGGGGGCATTTTTCCTTTTGGCCCGCCTTCCCCGAATCTTACAACGTTCTCGAGTGGTTCGCAGCCGTGGGAACGCGTCGACGGGCGATTCTAAAAACTCGGCACCTCGAGGAATCGTCGCCTCCGAGACGGGGAGATCGATTTCCTGTTTTCGAATCGACAATCGTCGACGAGGGACTCCCTTCCGTCGACGGGAAACGATTGTACGCCTCGGCGAGAACCCTCTGGCGGCGCCGCTCGTCGAGGCGAAATTATTCCTCGCGATAATAAAATCTCTAGGTAGGATCTCGAGGGGCGAAAGATGCAGCCTCCCCCTTTCGCTCGTCACGTGGAAATCTCGCTCGGTAATTAATTCATTGCCGCGCTCAAGAATTTCCCTCCCGACGAAAGAATCCCCCGTCTGCCCGGGCGAGCTTCATTGTAAATCAAGCGGAGAGTGACTCGCCTTATAAATCACGTTTACCTTCCGTATTTGCTTTATGGACATCTTGATAGCCGTGCACTCCCAAAGCGAGAGCTACTACACGAATTACCATTTTCCGCGAGACCGTGGGGATGCCCTTGCTGCAACGACTCGAATGCATTTTCCACCGTCTCTCCATTTTCTCGGCTGACTTATTACACGGAACGAGGAAGCGACCGAGGAGGAAATTCTACTTACCATTCGCGTCATCGGAGGGCGTATTTCCCTCGATTTTATATTGTTCCAGCGCGGTTCGTTGGAAACGTACCGGGATACGAAAAATAGGGAGTCGAGCTTCTCCGGAATGGCCGTTCCACGAGCGGCCGCGGAAACGTTCCGCTCGTCGAGATAGCGAAGGGGACTTTTTCGAGGGAGTCTCGACTAACTTATTGACCACTCGAGCTTTATCGCGATCCTCGTCGTGCCTCCTATCGCGAGAGGCCTTTGCCACCGACTTGTCCATTTAGCGAGCCGTCCGTCGAGCGACAGCCGACTCAGGAAATCTAGAGACACGAGGCCCCATTAAACCTCCCTGGCTCGCCAAATGAGCCTTTGGATGCCCCACCCGGCGCACCAGGGTATCCACCCTCGGTCGATCCAACGTGTCGCCCTTCTACAAATTCATGAGCGAAACGCTCGGAAAGTTCCGGGAGCCCCGGGTGATGATCGCTCCTTGGCACGATCCGTAAACGCGAGGAACGCGAGTCGGCGCGATAACTTTTAATCGGAATTAATTCCAAGTCGAGATAAAGCCAATTCATCGTCCTCTCGAAAAGGGGCGCGGAAAGATCGGAAGGCATTCAGAGGCGGCCTCGGATAATTCCTGGCGAGGTCCAAAAGGGAACCGGGCGCTACTTCAAGGGTGGCCCGAGTGGATCGAGGTGCCAAGAGGTAAACGGCTCTTAAATCCAGCTCTCTCCCCAGCCCCCGGCCATCTCTCTCTCCGACGATACCGACGAAAAAATGGCTCGCTCCGGATTCTCTCCATTTCAGATCTGGGTCGCGATATCGCGAGCTTCGCCCGGGTAGCCCGCGGGTCGGAGGGTCGCGGCAAACACCCCTCGACACGGTCCTTAGCGGGCTTTCGAACGAGCTTTCCGAGGAGATTTCGAAGGCGCCTTTGACCGGGTACTCGAAGCGACCTCGACAATGCCCCGCGATACCGGTATTCTCCCTTTAAAGTGCGCCATTCGGAGTCGAGGGGACAAAATGATGGCGACGTGGCTCGTAAACGCCGAACGTCTCCATGCGAGCTCCGTTCCGGAAGGGGAATTCCTTCGCGCTATATTTTAATTCCAGAAAGGAAGGAGTACTTAATTCCGAGAAAATGTGGGCACGTCCGGAGGAGCTTCCGTGATCGGGACGTTAGCCGATTCTTTGGGAAGAGTAGCTGGCCTTCCGAGGCAATAATTCTGTCGGGGAAATTCCGGAAGTCCGAATTAACGCGAAATACTCGCGGCTCGGCTGAAAGTACGAGGTCGCGTCGCGTCGCGCGCTTCGGGGGAATTTCTTTCCCGGAGGTCTCCGCGTTATTATATCGCCGGGAAGTTTCCTATTAAATTAGGAAGTTCGGTAAGCGGCCGGGCTCGGAACTCGCACGACAAACAGCGGAGCGTTATCGTATTACCCGGCCCGGCTGGGCTGGAATAAAAATGCCCTAAGCGGGCGGACCGCGAGTGCTCGACCCGGGATCGAGTTTTCCGGGTCCGGGGTTAAATCTTCCGGATTCCCCGGATTTTCCGGATGTTCCCGAGTTTCCCGATTCCGTACGGAAGTCACGCGCCCCACGGCGCGAGGTATTGCCGCTGACACTGGGGAAATTTATCGTCGACCGGTAACGGCACCTTGTCGACGTCCACGAAGCGAATTCGCGAGTCGCGCGAGCCCCGGGTCGGAAAGAACTTCCCGGAGGAGAGTTCGCAAACTCGAAGGGCCATCCGCGAGACGACTGGCCGAGATCTCCCTCGGACGCAGAGGAATCGTCCCTCTCGCCAAAGCTATCGATCCCGGCGTCGATTTTCCAAGGTAAACATCGGTCTTCGGGAGAAGGGACCTCGAACGTCCGAAGAGACGGCCGATCAAGAAGGGACGAAAGGGAGACAAATTATTTTGGACCCTTCGAGACCTCGAGAACGGATGTAGAGAGTCGAGATCGGTCCCGGATCGTGGCTCATCCCCGAGAACGTCGTTCGAATCGGCTCATCGCCGACCCTCGTTAAACTCCTTCCCGCGGACTTTCCTCGCCTTCTCCCGAGCGGAGTTTCCGTTTCTAATCCTCCGTTAATCCCCGGAAAAGTCTCGGGGAACCTGTCGAGAGTTGGATCGTTTTCTTAGAAACGTGTCGGGTGGTTAATCGGAAAAAACGAGGGCCAAGAACGGAGAGTCGGGAACAATGGACCGGCCGGAAAAGAGACACCGTTCTCCCGAGCATGGGGAAAGTTCGAAGTATCCGGACTTCTCGAGAAGTCCCGTCGAGTTAATTTGCTTACTAGAGGGTAACGAACTTTTCCGTTATTCGGGACTTTGGAAAATGACCCCTGTCTCGAGTCGCCCCTGGACGTTTCCATCTCGACGCGATTCGTGCCGCGGAACGAGGTAACCTCGTCCGCTTTCTGGCAACTTCCGGTGCAAGTCGTAAGGGGCCATTGCATTCGGAAATCCCGGGAAACTTGGCTCTTTCCTTCTCGCGGCCTTTTTGAAGCCCTCGGACGGCACGCGAGTAGCTTTGGTCGGCAAAGGGGTGGCGTGCAGTCGTTTGCATCCTCGTTACCATGGGCGGTCCGATTTAAATGCACCGGCCTTAGGAGGTCCTGGTGGGGGCTTTAAATTTAGGCCGGGCACTTCGTCGTCCGAGATTGTCGCGGCCTCGCAAGCTGGCCGCAACGACTTAATCCGAGCCCCGTGGTCGGGCTAGGAAATTGCATTTCGGTGGGGTGCACCGCGACGCGGTGCACCTCCACCATTAGGGTCGTGCAGCCGGTCCGATGCGGTCTCAAGGGATGTCGGTCCACCTTGTGAACCGGAACACGATGCAGGGAGCACGGAATGGCGACGCGTCCTCCTCTGCGTGCATCTCGATTCGACGTCGGATAGACGTCGCGACGTCGACAGATAAATTCTTTATACCTCGATGCTCTTAACCCGGAAAGGTATCGGAGGGTTTCATTTACCCATGGAAAAGTAATTTCACTTCTTCCCCCCGATTCCTTTTCCAATTCCGACGAGTCGACTCTCTTCGGTATCGCCTCGAGTCCGGATACTCCAATACTTATCCCGAGTTGGACAAGTTCGGGCAAAGGCCGGGACTGCGCGTGACTTCGGCGTCGTTACTCTTTCGCAATGTTCCTCGTTCCGCGGAATCGAGACCGTTGACCGCGTGGTTACTCCGCGCGGAGCACCCGACTGTATCGAACTCCGTCTCGAAACTTTTAGACTTAAAGGGCGATCGCACGGAACGGGGGAGCCTATTCTTGTCTCGAGGCTAAGTGACAGCTTTCGGCCCCTCAATGCAAATGCGTAACAACTTCCACTCGATATCACCTCGATCCGGAAGTGGAAGTACCTCTGCCCTCCCTGGGGCGCGAAACTCCTCCGATCGGTTTTTACAATGGCCAAGAAATCTCGATCTTCGCCGGAAAAGTCAAATCTTCCCGAATGGGGTTAAATATAATTTTTTAATCAAACCCGACGCGATCTACTCTGCCGGGGAGGACGATCGACAGTGATCCCCGCCCTCGATCACTCTTGGGGCACTGCCGATAAATGCTTAACCGTATAAATAAGGGACGTTACGTCCACTTGCCATTAATATGACTTACACGAAACGTTCGGATCATAATTACGCGTTTATTATGCCATTAGGCGATTAATGGTATGCAAATGGCGCATTGAACGATCATTCCGCGGAATGATACACAGCCTCCGCGTTAACTTAAACGTATAATATCTCTTATTTATACCCCGTTGCCCCCAGCCATTCGTTCGGGCGGAAGTGAAACGTACAACCGAAGTTCGAGCCCCGTAAGTGGATAAAGCGTGTTCACCCACGGACACGGTTTCCACTTCCCTCTGAGCGCCGCGATCGTCACTACCCCGACCATCTCCGCTCGAGTTATAGAAAACTACGAGATAAACTACTTTTCCGCTAATGCACGATGCACTTCCCCCGATACGGCTAATCCGCAGAGGAGCAACTTTTCGCTGCGCGAGATGACCGACTTCTTAGTGTCTCGATACCGGGCAGCGTCCGCCACGATACCGCCCTTCCCGACGCTCCATGTCGATCTTCCTCGTTGTTAAAAAAAAAATCTAAAAATGGAGAACCTTATAGATCGATATCCTTTTGAGTCGCGTCCTAGATTGCCGATGACGATGACGGGTCTCGGGGTGTTGCAGAGCTCGAGGGACGAGCCGCTAGGATGAGGGTCCCAGGGTAGGAGGAGCGACCATGTGGACCTCGCTGCCGAGGACGAGGCGCAAGTGGAGGGAGCCTCCATCGGGCAGCGGAGGGCAGCGGAAGCGTCCGGAGGTCCTGTGCTCGGTGCTGCTGGTGGCCGCCTCGATCGTCGCGACGGCGGCCGCCGCGGCGGTGTGTCCCGCGCCCGAATCGATTCCGGGCTGCCCGTGCTACAACTTCGAGGACGGCCTCTTCCTCGAGTGCGCCGGAGCCACGGAGGAGTCCCTGCGAGTCGCGCTATCGGGGGTGCTCGGCGTCCAGCCCGGCGAAGGTAAACTCGACGCGTCGATTCAACGGGGTCGGAGATCCATCGGGTAGCAAGGGTTGGAGGGTATTTGGACGTTGCTTGATTATTTGCACCCTGGCTGGGCAACGCGTGGATCGAAAGGGCGTTGTTCCGATTGCAGTGTAGAAGGGTTGGTTCCAGGGGAATCGCAAGGATCCCTCGAGGGTTGCTTCGTGAACCAGAGTCCATACGTGGGTGCCGACGAATTATCGATAGTCGTTCAAGGGGGTTGAACGCGAGGTGATTTTTTTTTTCCCCCGCGGGAGGATGCCCCTGTTGACGAGGTGTGTTGCAGGGGCGGTGGTGCAGTCGTTGAGTGTCTACGAGCTGGATCGGAAGGTGGAGGAGCTCCGGGCCTCGGTGTTCCCGGCCGGGACGCAGATCCGCCACCTGCAGATCTCGCACTCCGGGGTGAAGGAGATCGGCGAGGATGCCTTTCGGATGCTGGGCTCGAGCCTGGAGTCCTTAGGACTGGTATCCGGCAAGCTGGCGCAGGTGCCGCAGAAGGCGCTGGCCTCGCTGGGCAGGTTGGCAGCTCTGGACCTGGAGGCGAACCTGGTCCACGATCTGCCGAGCTTCAGCTTCTACGGGCTCTCCTTGATCAAGTTGAACCTGAAGGGCAACCAGATCGCGAAGATCTCGGAGTACGCTTTCGCTGGGTTGGAGGACACTCTGACCGATCTGGACCTGGCGGAGAACAAGATCAGGATGTTCCCGATGACGTCGCTGAGACGACTCGAGCACCTGACTTCGCTGCGGCTGGCTTGGAACGAGGTCTCTCAGCTGCCCGAGGACGGGTACTCCAGGTTGGACGCCCTCAACTTTCTCGACCTCAGCAGCAACAACTTCGAGATCATACCTCTGAACTGTTTCCGATGCTGCCCGTCGTTGCGGACGCTCTCCCTGTATTACAACGTAGTCGAGTCGGTAGACAAGGACGCCTTTATATCCTTGATAGACCTCGAGTCGATAGATCTCAGTCACAATAAGATAGTGTTTCTCGACGTAGCAACCTTTCGTGCCAATCAGAAGCTCCGGTCCATCGACCTGAGCCACAACCACGTCCACCACATCAAGGGCGTGTTCTCTCGGCTGCCCGAGCTGAAGGAACTCTTCCTCGCCGAGAACAACATCCTCGAGATCCCGGCCGAGACTTTCGCCGGGAGCACCGCGCTCTCGGTGGTGTATCTCCAGCAAAATGCCATTAGGCGGATAGATGGCCGAGGGCTGGCCACCCTCGGCCAGCTAGCGCAACTGCATCTCAGTGGGAACTACATCGAAAAAGTGCCGAGAGACTTCCTCGAGCACTGCGAGAACCTCTCGACCCTCTCCCTGGACGGGAATTACATTCGCGAGCTGGAAGTTGGCACCTTTGCCCGCGCCAAGCAGCTAAGAGAACTCCGATTGCAGGACAATCGAATCACCGAGGTCAAGAGAGGAGTCTTCGCTCCTCTGCCCTCGCTCCTCGAACTGCACCTGCAAAACAATGCGATCACGGACATGGAGACGGGGGCCCTTCGCTCCCTCCACAGCCTGCAGCATGTTAACCTGCAGGGCAACCTTTTGGCCGTCCTCGGCGACGTTTTTCAGGTATCCAGCGAGCCCGGGCAAAACGGCAACGCGGCCACCTCGGCCGGAAGCTCGCTCGTCTCCATACAACTGGACAACAATGGCCTGGGAGTCCTGCATAACGACTCCTTGAGGGGCCAAGCCTCCGTCAGAATAATGTGGTTGGGTCACAATAGGCTGACTCGTCTGCAGGCCCCGCTTTTCCGCGACCTCCTCCTGGTCGAGCGTCTCTACCTGACCAACAACTCGATCTCGCGCATCGAGGACACCGCCTTCCAGCCCATGCAGGCCCTCAAGTTCCTCGAGCTTAGCATGAACAAGCTGACGCACGTCACCGTTCGAACCTTCTCCGAGCTGCACGAGCTGGAGGAGCTCTATCTGCAGGACAACGGCCTGAGACGACTCGATCCCTACGCCTTGACCTCGCTCAAGAGGCTGCGCGTCCTGGACCTGGCCAACAATCGGCTGAACGTGCTGCACGACACCATCTTCCAGGAAGGACTGCCAATCCGGACGCTGAACCTGAGGAACTGCTCAGTCGGCACGATAGAGCGCGGGGCCTTCAGAGGTCTCAACAACTTGTACGAGCTCAACTTGGAGCACAACAGGCTAACGGCCATGGCCCTGGACCGCCTCGACATTCCCGGACTGAGAGTCCTGAGGATCTCCTCGAACAACTTCAGCCAAATCAACGGAGACTCCCTCGACGGCTTGCCGTCCCTCCAGTACCTGGCCATGGACTCCTCCCAACTGTACCGCATGCCGCCCGACATCTTTTCCAAGAACAAGAATCTCGCCAAGTTGTCCCTGGGCAACAACCTCCTGCGCGGTTTGCCCGGAGCCCTCTTCATCGGGCTCGAGTCCCTGAAGGAGGTGAAGCTCGACGGGAACCGCTTTCAGGACATTCCCTACGAAGTCTTCTCCAACGCCAGCTCCGTCGAGGTGCTGTCGCTGGCGAATAACGTGATCGTCCACGTGGACGTCTCTCGTCTGAACGGGCTGGTCAGCTTGCGGGAGCTGGATCTTCGCAGCAACTACGTGGCATCGCTCTCGGGATTCGCGGCCGCCAACTTATCGCGGCTCCTCGCTGTCGACCTTAGCCACAACCACTTGTCCGCCTTGCCGGCCAACTTCTTCGTCCACTCGGCTTCGCTGAGGAAAGTCGAGCTAGCGGCGAACAAGTTTCGCCAGATACCGGCCACCTCGCTCTCCACCCAGAACATCCCCAGTTTGGCCTGGCTGAACGTCACCGCCAATCCTTTGACCAGGATACACGAGATCAGCTCCGAGGCCAAGTACCCCGCTCTGAGGGAGATCCACATAAGCGGCACCAATCTCACGATAGTCACCAGCCAGGACTTCGAGGCGTTCCCTGCACTGATGCACCTCTTCATGGGGAGCAACGTGATCTCGCGCGTCTCACCCAGTGCCTTCCGCAGCCTGCCGAACCTGCTGACTCTGGACCTCAGCGTGAACGAGCTGGAGCTGCTGCCGCAGGAAAGACTGAAAGGACTGGAGCACCTCAGGTTGCTGAACCTGACGCACAATCGCCTGAAGGAGCTCGAGGACTTCCCGCCGGACCTGAAGGCGCTCCAGGTGCTGGACCTGTCCTACAATCAGATCAGCGGCGTGGCCAAAGGCACCTTCCAGCATCTCGAGAATCTGGCCGAGCTGCATCTCTACGGGAATTGGATTTCCTCCATATCCTCGGACGCTTTCAAGCCCCTGAAGAAGCTGAGGATCCTGGACTTGAGCAGGAACTATTTGGAGAACTTGCCGCTGAAAGCCTTCAAGCCGCTCGAGACCCAGATCAGAAGCTTGCGGGCCGAAGGTGAGTCGCCCCTCATTTCTGCCTCTCTCCTTCGAATCGGCTCCCATACGCGCATGACGGAATAATTCATTGCTCTCAGAAAATCCCCTGCACTGTGACTGCGAGTCCCAGGAGCTGTGGGAATGGCTGCGGGACCACCAGAAACTCGTCGGCGGAGTCAGCAGAAACCGCGGCGGAATGGGAGTAAACGACATGGAGAGCGGATTGCTGAGGTGCGAACAGCCTCCGGAGCTGCGCGGCCTGGTGTTCCTGGATCTGGACCCCCACGCCTTCTGCTCGGCACCCCTGGTCTTGAAACTCGCCATCCAAGACATCCAGCCCTTCTCCGTTCTCGTCTCCTGGCAGAGCAGGAACCACTCGGGCTTGCACGGGTACCAGGTCGCTTATCACGCGTTGGACACCATTGACGAGGTGAAGCACCCAGGATTTTCCTAAAACCTGACGTTAACCTCGCGAATCGTTTTCCCTGTAGCATCGATTTCCATTCCAGGTCCACGGGAGGCTGCTGGATCCCAACGCGCGATCCGTGAAGCTGTCAAAGCTATCGTCCAACACTCGCTACCTGATCTGCGTGCTGGGACTAGGGAACTGGGTGTCTCGGGAAGGAGAGACCAACTCGGTCGGGATATTGAACGCCTCCAGGGGTGACGTTTTCGATGCGACAGCTTTGCCGGAAATGGTCGACTCCCCCACGAGTCGGTGCACCGAGGTGAAGACGCTCGAGGCGCCCGACGCCGTGATCAGCAGTGACGGGTCTACCAGCGACGTCGGCGGAGTGGCGAACATCCTCACCAGGAGACTCGGATTGATAGTGGGATGCTGCATGGGTTTCGTGGTCTTCGTCCTCCTCGTCTCCGTCCTGGGATACCTTAAAATTAAGAAGCAGCGAGAGGCCGTCAAACGAGACCAGCAGCCGGTTCCCCCGGAGTACATCTCCTACCGACACTTCAGCATCCAAAGCGGCGAAGCCGGACACGCGGCCAGGGCGGCCAGTCAGGAGGGCCAGCATCCGAGCTTCATAACCAACATGGGGAACGCGACCTTGAACGTGTAAAATTACGCAGACCAGAATTTACGATTACGTCCTCTAGTTTGGACTGGCCAATTCCCATTCGAGGTCTCGAGGTGCTGGCTGGGACGGAAATTATCCAGCCAGTCGAGACCGTGCAGAGCCCGCTTCGAAGCGAGTTGCAGCGTACGGCGACCTGCGACGGATAGGAACGAAGTTACAGATGACGGGTGCGATTTGTAATTACAGGAAGAGGTAGAGAAATTACGATTTTCATTTGTACTGGTGGAGGAAAGGGACGGTGGAGATTATTCGTTGAAACGAACACACGAGGGTAGGACGGTTAAGGTGGAAATCCGTCACCGTTGAAATCTGAGTTAAAAAATAGAAATTCAAGTACCTACTTCCCGGACGGCCACGAGTCAATGTCGGTTGGAATTTTCTACCCGGAGGGTCAGGGGTCTCATTACCCCGCGGTGGAGTAGTTAAAGGTTAAACCGTACAATTTATCATTTCGCGTTTCGGAGTTCAACTGCACCCAGTACGTTCCATGCGCCGGTTGCAAATGGAATTTCTAGAGAGGATTTATATACAAATTGCACGAGTAATTTGTAATTCCGTAATGGCGTTGCGCCGGTAATGGGTAACCCTACCGACCAAGGAGGGGATCGACCTAGACGAGGAGGGAATCGACGTGGGCCTCGAAGGGTCCACTCGGATTCCGGTAGCAATTTTGCATTGTTAAACAACGCCGAAGACTGCCCCGAAAGCGATCCGCGAAATTTATTTGAGGTGTCCGAGAATATGTGGCCGAGAGTGGATGGATGAATGTAGTCGTGCGAGAGTCGGCAGATCTCCAGGACTCGGGAGGAGATCCTTTAGCTTAGCTTAAGGACAATTTTATAAGCGATTTTCTACGAGGTTTAATTTACAATTTGAGCGGCACGAGACGACGGGCTCCGAGAACACCCGGAACGCACGAAAAAATGTCGGATTTGATCGAACCCCGAGTTCGTCGCGCCTACGCGAATGGTCATATGCAGTAGAAACCTCATTGTAAGACGTGACGCATTTGCCAACAATTACCACTAAATACCGTAGCATTGTACACCTCACCGCCCTCGTAGCGACGGGGTGCATTGTATTTTCTTAATGGTTTCCGAACTACGTCTTGGGTTTTTAGCTCCCGGCGACGTCGCGTCGGAGTTTCGAGGCTCTCGTGGAGGTCGATGACTCGAAAACGTGAATATTCATTTTGAAATTCATGAATCATCGAATAGAGCAACATTCCAAATCGTTTACCACCGCGTTCGTTGCCGGGCGATTTCGATACCATCTCGACCTCCCCGTTAAATCCTTGAAAGTACCGAAGCGACGTAAGAGCGCCTCGCCCGAGGAGGTGAAACCACCCTAATCTTGTCGAGATGATAAGGAAATTTTTAGGTTTGCGATAGACGATTCTCCCCGCGAGGAAACTTCTCTCGATCGGGTTCCTCGCGTCCGGGGACGAGGGAAGTCCCGACGCGCTACCCCGGCACTAGGTCACGTCGATTCTCCGCGACTTACGTATTTCTGCGCTACACATATGTATTGTAACATACACGTACATACGTCACTGTAATAAAATGCAAATTTTTTCTAGGCGCCCCTTCGAGTGGAAGTTACCCCGAATTTCCGTCCCATGCGACACCTGGGACGTTTCAAGAAAGGTTCGAGGATCCGTTCGACCCGAGTAGTCATGCCAACCGCGTCGACCAGGAGTTCTCCAAAATATTTTTTCAGAATCACCATTCCACGCGTGTTCCCCAACGTGTCCGATTTTCCGCCCAAATGGCAAAACGATCCATCCCGTCCGCATCCCTCGATCTCGCCTCCGCAAGCCGGTCGTGACGACGGATCATCCGCGGAACGGGAGGCTCGGCGGATGTTGAAATTTCCCCCCGACGACCCGCGTCGCTCCCTCGGTGAATTTCGATAAACCCCGCTCTGTCGGCGGCGGAATTCCGCAAATTTCTAGATGCGAGCCTCGTGTTCGCCGGGGCGGCGCGTGGAATCAAAATCTGTGAAATATGCGAGCGCCCTTTCCCGGGAGGCCGGCCTCTTTTTCGCATAAATTTCCCGGCATCTCAACGAAACGCTTCCCCGGCGCTTTATCGTATTTCCTTGCAATTAACCCTCCTTCCCCGTCGACCCGGGCGACCCGACGACCCCGACGCCCCTAGCGGCCCCGACGCCGCGACGCAAGAAACCGGCCGTAAGAAAGGCGCGTTGCATATTTCATTCGGCGGAATACTCCGGTTAAGCCGAGTGTGCGTTCGCCCAGTCTTTCTGGTAATAAAGGGCGGTGACCCGGCCGTAAATTGAAATCCCAAGGTGCACTCGCCCCCTTCTCGTCGACGATCGCCCTCGTCCCTTAATTGCACCCTAAAGACTGCGCCAAAGAGAGCCGTCCGAAGCATCGGCGCGCACCCCTCGGCGAAGTGCCTCTAATTACTGGATATCCGTCATGGCCAAGGGAGGAAAAGCTCCGCTCGCGGGGTGTCTTTATTTGGCTATCGACCAGCCATTGTTCTCGTAAACGGGAGCGCAACGAGATGTTTCCGATGTACGGGGTGGAAGGGACGGCTCGGACAAATTATCCTCGCGGTGAATGCTCCCGGGTTCTTCGGGAAAAAATTCTTAACCTCGCTCGCGGTAGTTCGCCGAATGGAACAAACGTGTCATCGATATCGGGGGAATCGTGTCACCCATCTCGCGCGATGACGTCCACGCGTTTCATGACGGCACGTGATTCACGTGGCTAGGTGCGTGCGATTAATCGATGGCTCAGGGTCCAGGTCCGAGGCGCGTTCGATCGAAATCCTATCCACGCACGATCAAACGGGGAGGCAATCGTAATCGGACCAGAAGATAAATCCGTCCGGAGCAATTACGCTCGAGTTAAGGGGACTTACGCAACGCGAGTGGCACGATCGCCCATTGCACGAGGTAACGCATGGAATGCGTCGTTTGCACCTGGCCCCCTTGGATTAATTCGAGCTAACGCCTCTCGCCGTTGCGGATTTTTCCCTTCCGTTCCTAAGAGCCGTCGAGTGCCGGAATTACGGCGGAAAAATCGCAGGAGCCGACTCCGGTCTAGCCTGCAAGTAACGACACCCTCCTCCCGGAAGGGCGGAGACGAAGCAAGGAAAGTCTGGAGGGAGAACAAACGGAGATCCCGAAAGGGGTGGCACAAAGCTGAGACCGTATTCCGCCCTTCGAAAAGAGCTTACAGGGCGGAAAGAACAATGAGCCCAGCGCTATGAAATATGCATGCATCTCGGCAGTCTCACCGACGCGTCGTCGAAGACTAAACGGGGACCGCGGACCGGAGGCTCGTCCTCTGACGGGCCGGAAATTCCCAGGAAGAAGAGGAGCATATGCGTTTCCGCGAGTATCGAGGACTTCTCGATGCCCCGTCGTGAATTTCCATTGGCACTCCGTCTCCGGAGCGAGAATAATGCAGGCGTCTTGGAAAAGTTGGCGCCCGAAGTCGCACCTATCCCGAAGAACGCCGACGCTCCTCGGCACGTATGAATTTATATCTCCCAATATTTGGTACGCGGTCCATCGCTCATAATTTATTTACGCCTATTTAGAGTCCGCGGAGGGCGATCGAAAGAGGGTTCCGGGTGGTGGGAGGACGGAAGTGAGGAAGAAACGTGCTTTTTCGCCCCCTCGACGAGACGCATCGCCGTAGTTTCCTCTGATTAAACGCGGGGCATCCAATGGACTCGCTGTTCCGTGAAACCACTGTTAATGCGCGCAGAACGAGAGCGGTTCAATGACGCATAGGAGAAGGGTGAAATACGAGATGCATCAAACATCCCGCGGCCGCCCGCGTAAATAACGCATCAGGCTAAACAGTCGTACGAATTTCGTAGGGGGTGCCAATCGGCGGAGGTGCCGTTTTGGAAACGGGCGGAGTAAATACGGAGATGAAAGCAGGGGCGCGCCTTTCGCGCGGACGCGGATTTTCCTCGGAGGCATCGAACGTAAGTTATGCCGATACGTCGATGAACTCGGGATACGCCTTTCCGCCTGCCACGTCTTCGCCAGGCGGAAGTAAATCCGTAATAAAAGTCGGAAAGGGCCGAAGGCGATCCGGCCGATGACTAAGGGGTGTTTACACGACGGGGCACCCTCTTAAGACTAGATGGCCGTGGCTGCATATTTTACCGGCTTTATTCCGCCGCGTCACGGCGCTCCCCCGGCCCGGGAAAAAGGAGCAAATTCATTTATTGGCTTTGAAAATGTTTTTCGCGGCGGGGAAAAGGTAAGGTATCCCCGGGCTTGTAAATAATTCAGCGGCGGATCTAATCTCGCCCCCGGAAGCTGAGAGGAGCGGGCCCGAGAAAGCGGCGAGGAAGCGGGAAAGGAAGCGGGATGTGATAAGTAAGGTCGGGCCGCATTGGTCCTCGGCCAATTCTACAGGGTGATTCAGCAACCGCGTCCAAATCTTATTGCCGGGGCATCCCTGAGTCGAGCGCGTCGAGATTTCCCCGTGCGCCGATTCCCCGTAACTCCCCATTTTCCTCGTCCACGTTATCTCCCTCGAGATAACGACACGCCGATTAAAATATTTGTAAAAGCCGCGACGACTATCCACCCCGTCGCTCTTACTAGAAAGGGTGCACTCGACTTCCGGCCTCCGAGAAATTACCACGTATCGATCCCTCGCGAGGGACATTTTTTACGCGGAGGGCGTACATTTTTATCGCCCAGAGCCCTTTCGGAGGGGATGATCATTACGAGGGTAATAACGGGACCTCCTAACGAGGGAGTCGCGAGGGGCAGGGTAACAAATTGTTTCCGGAGGACGCCTTCTGCGGGATAATTGAAAAAGTGACGGGGACCGTAAAAGGAATCGGGCGTTTTTTAAGTCGCCCGAAGAGACGTCACAGCGCCCGAGAGACGCCACGGAAACCCAGCGACGTCGCGAGGTTCGTCGGGTATGATCCGATATCGCGTCGCAAGAACACCCCCGGGTGTCACGTATCGTCGGGGGTGGATTGGCAACCCCGAAGCCACGACCCGGGTAGAAGCGCATCGACTGAATTATGTCGAAGCACCAGAGGGGGGCACGCGCTCGCGAGGGTGTTGTTTTGCCTGACGGATTCGACGTAAAGCGCGCGTTTCCCGCGATCGTTTTTCACCCTCCCCCGAAACGCACCGTGCGTTCCGGTCGGGGATGGGGGGTCCCTTTTCATCGGCAGGCTACATAAATTCCAAGTGAAACACGCAGAACGCCCCGCGTACCAGATCCAAACCGAACGCTGGGTCCATAGATCACGATACCCCGAAAGAGGGGCGGAGGACGATCTAGGCGCGAAACCTCCAAAGCTCGACCCTCGGAAATCTAGGCGGATGATGCATCCTTCTCTCGCGTTACCGAATACCCGACGTCAAATGCAAGCATCGACGCCAGGCTGTCCGCGAGGATGCACCTGCAGAGTAGAACCGTGGATGGCTGGCCTTTTAGAGAGGCGACGGTCGTAATCGATGCCTGGGCTTCCCCTGTTCGAATTGCGTACAAAGTAGCCGAAGACGACCATAAATCATCCGGCGTGAATTTGAACCCAGGGGCTTCGCGTAAGAAATTTATTATTCGTCCTATCGGAAGACGCTCCATGCCCGTAAGGGTACTAAGGTAAGGGAACTCCCGTCGCGTGGTTCCGAGGGAGACACGCGATGGGGAATTTCCTCCTAGAGTAGTTTTAAAGGGAATCGAGCCCGACTTTGCAGTTTCTGAATTTTTGATCGCAGATCCGAAGGCGACGAGGACTCGGCCGGGGTCCCGGCATGGCGGAAGAGGGTTCGCGGAAGGGAAGTTTGAAGAAGCCCTCCGGCGTGGAGGAGAGTCCCTCGTAAAGAAAGTTAGCGGGAATATTAAGCCAGTCACACGTGTGTCGTAAAACTGTTTTATTTCGCCGACAAGAATCGGCAATCGTTGCGCCTCGAAGTTGGCGCGTCTCGGCGCGTCTTACGCGGCTCGGCCCCGAGTTCGCGGGGGTCCTACGACTTCGGGATCCGCTTTTATAGGCCATCAATTTTATCGTAAACGACGGAGAGCGCATCGCGACCCGTGCTCTGCACCGCGATCGACGCAGCGGAGGAATTCTCCTTTCGACGGAGTCCTTGATGCGTCGCCGGGATGCGCTATCGAGTTTCATGGCCCGCGAACTACGCCACTGTGGGTAACGAGAAGAACGAACGGTTGCGGTATTAGGACACTTCCACCGCCAGTCAAAGTAATTAGGTACTCGGCGATTTAACAAGCGGGACCGAAGTAGCGAGGAATTTTCCGATCGAACTCGCGTTTCCCCGAAAGTGGAACGACGCTTTGAAGTCGATTCGCGGGCCGATGAGAATTCTTCTGCGGGAACGCGTGCGGTCCGCGGGCGCCGGAATGCGTTTCCCAGGCCGGGGTTCCTCGAACCGTGCCGCCATTGGGAACGAGAGATGCAGAATGCAGATACGCGTAATTGCGGAGGGCATTAGGTACACGCACGGCCGGGGGCGCGAGACTCGGAGGGAAAATGTCAAGTCTGAGTTGTGGCGGACGCGGACGGTAAACCAAACGCAGACGCGGTATCCACTTACGGGCCGTAACGCGGCCGGCCTAGTATTTCCGCGCGTTGGCGAAAAACGCCGATGGCTCGCGTGTGCCCGCCGTTCTAAGTACTCTTCTTACGTCCCTGCAATTGTCGATGCCTCCGGGTATCGCTAGGGAGTCCGGCGCCGTTCCAGCCGTTACCAAGAATCGACCAGGGTGCAGGTGCATCGGGGTCCCACCTCCGTGGGAACTCGGAGAACCTATTTTCCGCTTCCTCATTTATCCGGAAACATCGGTGACCGAGTTCGGATGCGCATCTCGGATTCGGGGCCGGCATACGTATCGGATGTTCCTCCGGCGTATGCTGCTCGCGCACCTTTTTCATAAACCAATCCCGCGGAGACCTCGCGGAGATGATACCGTTTTTTCGTTCCGCCGGCGGCGACGTATCGTTAATCGCAAGTAACCCGCCTGGCGGAATTACTCTCGGCGCGATTCCCCGCAGGAATGGCGATCCCCTCGTTACGGCAACGGGATGCGCATTCGCCGGATAATAAATTCCGAGATAATCTTGATGTATCTCGGGCGTCGCGGGCGAGAACTCGGCACTCGAAAGAACGCCGTCCGCTGTTTGCTCGGTCAAGTTCCGAGGGCCATCAAGTTATATCTCGAATCACCGAGTGGCCCGACGATGCGAGAGCCCCGGGGGTAATTTCGGACGGCGATATGAAAAAAGTTTCCGGCCAACGAGTGGCCAAGACTCTTTCGAAATTCTGAATTCGATGAAGGGAACGGGCTCCCGGCAGGAACTACGCACCGCGAGGGAGACGCGGAATTTCTCCGCGACTGCCGACCAATCTGGCGCGCTCTATTAGGATAACGATCCCCCGTTAAGTTTCGTTATTTTTGGAGATTACCACCTCGCGGCCGTTTAGCGCGTCCCTGCACGGTAGCCGCTGAAACGCGGTGGCTTGTTATTGCGAACTTTGCGCCGAGCCACGCGTAATAACGCACCTTCGCGCCGCGTTAGGAACTTTGCAATAATAAACCGCAGACGCGGCCCCCTCGACTTGCCGCTAAATGTTCCGTATTAATAACCCCGCGTCCTCGTCGTTAACTCGCGTCCCTTGGATAGACGAAGAGAGGGCTTATATCCGACGATTTGCAAGCAATAAGCGGGAAATTGCGGAGCGTTTCCCGGAGCGGTAATGGCCGCGCTGGATGACGGCTCGTCCGCCGGCTTCCCCGCAATTACCCGGATTGTCGGCTGTCGCGATATTTCTATCGACTTCGATCGGACAATTTCAGGCCGCGGGGGAAATTTTCAACTTTTTCGCGAGGGATGCCAGGGGAAAATGGAGCGAGGACACCCGGTGGAAGCTCCGCGCGAGGTGCGCCCTACGCTCGTATTCGGCCATTTTCGTCGCGGGCGAAAGTTTGCGGTGGAAACGGACACGAAACCATGTCTCTTCCATGTCACGTATCCGCGACGCAGCAGAGTCCCGAACAAATATTATATCCGCGCTGAAAGGACGGGAACGAAAAGGGATCCCGGGCTTTTGGTACGGGTTTCCCTCGGAAAGCACGCTTCGAAACGACGCTGCGTTTTCCCCGCTCTCTTTATTACACATTAGCGATACAGAATACGCGTTTCAGATTTCCTAGGCGAGAAATCCCCTTGACGGAGCAAAGGGCTGGGGCTCTGCAAGCTCCTAGGGCCTACCTATCGATTACTCGATCCTCCCCGTGATCCTTATGTATTTAAATCTAGTCGGCGATAAGATTCCAAGGAATCCGTCGAAAGCTCTGGTCCATTTATCTCCGGGCTGAGTCGACCGAGATCGAGCTTCTGAAGGCGACTTTCCGCGAAGCAAAGTCACCGCAGGAGCTTCCACGGGATTGCAGCCCGTTCCCGGCGACGGATATCCTGAACTCGGTAACTGCGACAGATAGGACCGCGACCTGTGGCATCCGCTAAGTCTCTAGGGGATTCTAGGGGAATCTACCGCGTGCTGCCCGCAAAGTCCGCCAGAGTGGACGTGCATTCGGGAGCCGGATTCTTCGCGTCGTTTTCCACGAGTGCGGCTGTCCGTACACTTCGTTCTCCAGCTGGTCGCTCGTGTATACGGAGGAAAAATTGCCGTACCGACAGACCGCTCGCCGGATTCGATCGACGAAAGCTTCAAGCACGGATCTCGCTCGCGGGCACTCGACGGGGAAAATATGCGTGGCGAACGCTGACGGAGCGAGACGGAACATTAGTCGGATAAAACGTTTTCGTACGTCCTGGACGCAGGAGATGAATAATCCCGGCTAGTTCGGAATAAATTTTACCCCCGGTCAGTCAGCGCTTTTCACGGGAAGGGCAACTGTTGCGCACCGAGACGGTTCGGCAACTTTTGACGTGCAAGCGACATGCGCGACGCATGGTTTAACGACTCGCGGTAATTGCCTGAATTACGCCTCGCCGAGGATTTACGGTGCGTCGGGTGACAAGCGTTGCGGTCGGCGGAGGAAAATCCTGAGGACGGAAAAGTCGTACTCGCGCGAGATCGAGAGTCGCGACCGGCAGCCAATTCCGCGGCTCGACCGGGTCGGGCAATCATTGGCCGCGACACCATCGGAGATTCCCCCGGGCCGTCCGGCGGACGCAACCCGGGAGCACGACCCACTTCCATGACAATGCCTCCGGGTGGGGGCTGGAATTCAGCGGTACAGGAACTGATATTTCCCAGAAAATGAATGACCCCCGTAGAAACGGGCCGACAGCGGTAACGGGATACAATGGTCGCACAATGGAGCCGGGCGGGTCGCGCGGGGAAAACGGCGCGGAGGAAGAGGAAGTGGCGAACGAGGTGGAGAACGAGCCGGTGGACGCGGGTGGAGGAACTCGGCGACGCGACGCGATACTTGCCGCAACGGGCCGCCGTGGTTCGGCCAAACACGGGACTAACTCCTGCACCGCGGTCGGCCCAAATTAAATTCTCCCTTGTCCATTAAACCAGCGCCGTTCGCCGCTCGGCGCCGTCGCGTCTGCGCGACCTCCATTAACGTCTAATTACTAATTATGCAAATCGGGGCCGAGCCGAGGGTGGCTCGCTCGGGCGAGCGCGAAACGACGAGGGCGATCGAGGCCTCCCGGAAGTCGGGCCCCGGAACTAGTAGACTATCGGCGGCCGGTACAAGATGTCGTAGAGCTTGACCCTCTGAGTGTGGTCCAGCGGGGCTCCGTGTCCCGGCCGACCCCAGAATCCCCGCCACGTGTCGAAGTGCCGCCGGCAACTCTCCCGCTCTTTCCGCTCCTCCTCCTGCAAAACGTTCCGAGTCAGTCTCGACCCTCGCAAAGGCACGGCCGATCGATCGATCTGGGCGCACCGACTCTGCCCGGAATTTGCGTGGGAAAGAAATCCCGCCCCGGGCGGAACGGTTTACGAGAGCGCGGGAGATGTAACGCCGACAACGGGATCGTGGCTGAAATACCCTCGTAACCTGTGCAACGATCGTTCTGAATTTTACGACGATTGCAGGAGACGCGTCGGGGCCATATTGAATTCGACCGCGGCCGCGGGTTTGATCCTCTTTGGCGCAGCCGCCGTGCCTTGATAAAACTTCCACCGCCAAGATTCCCTGCCCAATTTCCAGCCGATATTTCGACCGCGCCGTTTAATGCCGGCGTTATCACCCAATCGAACGTATCCGGTTAATGACGCCGACGAGCGTCGATGAACTCACCATTATTCGCTCCCGCTTGCCGCGTATCTGCTCGGCGAGCGCGGAAATGTACTCCTTGTTCCCGGTGCCCAGAGCCCTCAAGCTGCGAACAAGCGGTTTCGATGATTACTCCGAGCCACCGAAAACTCCGCATCGATAGGGTTAACGATCCTCCGTGGTTGGATCGAGGGCGATTTCCGAATGGAAAAATCCGAGAGGCACTCTCACTTGCCGGTCGATTCCGCCGGGCGCGAACAACGCGTCGACACGGAAAGGAGTCCCATTTTCCGCTTTGGCCCGGAAACGCTTCGGCTCCCCGGTGGAACGTCGGGGCGTCCGGTGCACATTTGGCGCTCATTTCGCGCGCAGGATTAATTAGCTCGGATCTGACGCACTCGGTCGGATAACGTCCGGGCGCTATCGCGCATAAACAACGTCGCAGTGGCCCGGCTCCCAGTCGTACCACGAGGGTTCCATTAAACGCTAATCAAAGTGGCCCGTTGTACGTCAACCTCGCGGTTTCTCCGCGCGAGTGCGGTAACGATCGCGCTTATGCGCGCCGCTATCGGGCAATAAACTCGAGTTAGGCTATCGGGGACGTCTCGGCCGAGGGCCGCGATTAACGACTCGCCGCCATAAGAACCGGGAGGACTCTTTTCCCGACCGAAAAAACGAGCCCGAAGAGCCGGCTCCTCGACGTCGGCCGCGCCCAGGGCGATCCGCCCTGATTAATCGCCCGTCACGGGACGGACGCGGAGATTTCACGGAAACCCGCCCCGTCGACGAGGACGTCGCCGCAGGATTTCGGCCCCATGCTCGACTCCGTTTGGGACAGCTTTGATTCCTGCGCCAAAGATAGCCGATCGAAAGGGTCGAGACGAGAGAAACCATCCGACGAGGGGAACGATCCCGACGTTAACGAGGACGTCGAAACGCGGACGCGCAGAAATTATGCCGAGGGCTGCAAATCGTCGCTTCGGAAAACGTAATTAGGTGCCGTCAATGTCCCTAAATATTTGTCCCGGTGGGAGGCACGGATTTACAAATGACGAACGATCGGCGCAGCCCGTGACCGCAAATCGGACGTTACCTCTGCTCAGCGGATTACGGGATCGGCACGCCAAGAGCCTCAACCGTGAAAATAACCAGATTCGGGACTCTCCTGCGGGAGGACCTCCGGAAACCGCGCCGGGTCGGGGCGGCAAGGTGAAGCGTTAATACGGCACGGGACGAACGATGGACAGGTGAGCCGCTGCAGGGGTCGAGTGCATCCGGGTCAATGGGTTGATTACCCTCGATGTAGTTACATCCCCCGAGTGCAATACCGCTCTAATCAGTCCTGGCGCCCAGAGATACGCCTAACCGAATTACAGGGCCGAGGAAAAACTTTCGAAACTGATCAGGACCGGTGTATCCCTGTTACGGAGCGAGGGTCGGTGGCAGGTCGAACTCGTGGCGTTTCGCGAATATTTGCAGAGGGGGTCGAAAGAGTGCTCGGAATTCTCTCGCCGGATAACAATCGAAGGGTCATCGTTTGTCCCATTCGAGGGAAAGAGGGTCCAGGGAAGTGAGAAAAATCCGAGTCCCCGTAACGACGGACTGCGACGAGGAATCGATAACTCCCCTTCGTTTCGGAGTAATAAAGAACTCGAAGACGACGAGTGGGACGATAATTTTCTCTCAAAGGGAAGTTCGTCGGCATTTTTTATTTATCCTCCCGGGGCTGGGGCACCGTCAATATTGCTACTCAACCTTTTACGCTGTTAAAACATATCTCAGGATTTTTTGCTCCCTTTTCCCGACTACTATCCGCACCGCAATAAAGGCCAAAGTGGTGCGCCTCGGGGGCGCCGTTTACAAAAAGGCGCAAATTTTTATCTCAAGCGACGTCCCCTTTACGCGATAAATATTTGGACCCTGGAACACCGTATTCCCTTAGACTGCCCTTACATACCCGAGTCGGGAAATTGATTCGTTGAATGAAACATCGAGGCTGGAGAGTTTCAGGGTAATCCCTAATCGTGTGGGACACGACGCGTGGAAACTACGGGCATAATCGTATTCCGTTAATAATGGAATTAACGCATCAGGGAATCCCTTTGCAAATTCGGGTTCACGGCATGCCGCAACTCCGCACTTCGACCAACCCCTCCTTCTCGACCAATCGACCTCTATCGATTTTTCTTCGGCAACATAGGCGCGTAGACCTCGAGAAACGGGCAGTTAATTTTCTAATTAAATTTTCGTAACGCTAATTAAGGCCGTGGAGGAGAGGGTAACCACTGAACTTACGCCTCTATCGTGTATCCTGGGCGAGTAGCATCCGTGGCGAGGAAGCGAGTCGTTTGGGGCTGAGATTGGTACCTTCGGGTGGTCATCAGGGGCACCAGCTCCACTCCACCTGTCAGCTCGTACACCTGCACCTCCTCGTTGTGCATATTCCTGCAGCGAGGGGACCGAGCTTGCAGCTCGGTGCCTCTGGGATAGACATCGGAAACTGCGCCTGAAAAGAGACAGGAATTCGGATAGAGTTCATCTGGAACCTGGAAGCCGTTTTCCAGCGGTACCAGGGGTGACTCCCTGTCGCAACCGGAGAGGAACTCACCGTGTCCCGACTTATCGTCGAAGAACCTGTTCGTCTCCGTGATGGGCAGAGGATCGACGTCCCTCGCGTGGAGTCTCCCGGCCATCGATTTGCCCGTCCAACCCTGAAAGAGTTATCGATTGGACTCACGGAACGACCAGGCTCGAACCACGGCAGTCGAGGGTGGCAAGCCCTGAAAATTTCATACGACCAGACGATGCCGTCTCCCTTAGGTCGTTATACCTTCTCTCGGCAAGGGCAAAATCGGCCTGTTCGAGCAAAGAGGATCTCGCCGGAAATGAGCTACATCTACTCGAGTCTAGCCCCGAATCTACGACCCTCCACCCGGGCGCGAACGTCTCCTCCACGTCGGAAATGTATCTCGAGCTGTCGAGGTGGTCCAGACGGTATGGAAACCGTTCCGACTCCCGATAACTTCAATTTATAGGTCGGTCCGCGGTGCAACGCCGATTTCTACTTTTCTGACACTTCTTTCCCCTTTAATTGCCCGGGAAAGAGCGGAGTGCGGAAGACACCGGGAGTTGCCAAGAGGCGAGAGCACTGCATTCTCGGTGGAAAATCGCGTTTCCCGAGGATCTCTCCACTTAAGGTCAAGGAAGTCGGCCACTTTATTACGGCGAGTGGAAAACCCACGTCATAAATCTACGCACCATAAATTCTCGGCTAGTGGAAACGGCTGCCGCGGTAAGAAATTCCTGGGCCGAACGGCAAGGCGCTAATAAATTTTCATTTAAACTTTTACGCGAGCGTCGGCGGTACAATTGGCCCGGGGTGCTTCCGCGGAAAAGCGCGGTCTTGCCTCGGCTTAATCGAAGATTAAAGCGGATCCCGTGTGCTCGGGAGCGCCTCCGTGAATTTCGGAATCCGGAATCCGGAATTCGGAATTCCGAGTGTCCGCGGCGTTGCGGTACCGCGGACCTACTAAAGTTAAACGAGGCGTGCATTCGTTACGCGCCCGTTATCGTTGCGGCTAATAGCTATACGTAATACGTGTAGTGGGAAGGTACCGACCGTACCACCTACCCGCGTTACACAAAAGTCCGTCTATCCCGGCACGAGAAGCGCGACAAACTCCAAGGCGATCGCTCCCACGAACCCGCGATCGCTCCTTTCGCGAGGTATCGAATTATCGATTTCGCCGGAGAAACCGCTGCTCTCTATTCGGGCGGTTCGATTAACGGAGGCCACGGAAGGGGATCGGAACGGCCTCGGGGATACCCCGCGCCGTTAAAAGACCGCATCCCTTGTCGCGTCCAGACACCGATTGTGGAACGCCTTCATTTCCTCGAATATCGTGAAAAATTGGATTTCTCGTGGCCGAGCTCTTTGGAATTTTCCTCGACGATTGCGTACCATTGATTGCAGGAAACGCACCCCCAGCAGCTTGGGGTCCCTCCAAGGTACACCACCCGGTCCGGGACGGCCAAACGGGGAGGGCTGCGCCAACTGTGCACACGCAAAATGTCACCTGCGGTTTCTGATTTATCCAGGGACCCAACCCGCCCATAAAGCGGCGCTTTATTCCATGCAAACTGTGCGCAAAACGCTGGGACAATTTTTACCAATTTCCGTTCGATCTCGAGACTCCTGGCGCGCTCCCGTTCTTGACTCTTGCGACGCCTGGCCACCAGGATATCTGCGCGGATGCAACCACAAAGGACGGTCGTTAATGGCGACGCATTGAGAGCCAAATCCGTCGGCAAACCCGATACCTCTGCGTTGGGGACGAGAACAAACGCAACGGCATACGCAACGCGCGTCGTCGTCACCGTGATTACTTTATCGCGACGCGTCGGAAATAATTCACGATTCCCTCCGAGTACGGAATAAGTCGTTCCTGTATTAAAATGTTTTCCCCGGTCGTTGGAGGTAAATCGACGCGCGTCCAACGTAATTCTATGGGGAGGAAAAATGTCCCCGTGATGGTAATATAATGCCCGTACATGTGCGGAGCAGTGCAAGGTACTTTGTCGCAGAAAATAGGATCTCGATGTACGGTGCCGTCTCCGCTCGTGCGCGAGCCGTTGCGATTCGTTTCCTCTCTCCCCCGAGTATCCGCTTCGATAATGGAGACAGCGATAAATCTACGAAAAACGATATCCCCTGCCCCCGTGGTCCCGAGTACGTTCGGCTCGTCCCAGCGACGAGCAACGAGCGACGCGCGTCGAGGATCGCTTTCCCTCCAAGAGTTACGGAAGATCATGCAAGCTTGAACGTCACCGAGATGTCGGCGATATTGCCGTCTGTGCTCCTCGGTCGCTGCACAGCTATAAATCTCCTCGTTCCAGCAACGAGCGCGATCGGCCAGGGGAGAGTTCTCCTTGGCGAGTTTGAACTCCTCGTCTTCCTCCTCCGGGTCGGCCATCCTGGACCTCGATTTTTTGGCGAGAGCGAAAGGAGCGGAGGCTTCTTCGGGGATCGCCTCCCAGGCTTTAAGGACTTTCGCGGGTCTTGCTTCTCGATCGGCTTCGTCCTTAGGAACGTCCAGGTGCGACCGAGCGGTCTTTCTCGCCGTCCTCCGCTCGCTCCTTCGGCGCAAACTGCGCGACGTTCGCGGCGAGATGTCCATTTTAATCCGGGATCCGTCGACGCGAAGCATGATCTCGTTAACGGTCTACGGAGGGAATATTCGGTGGAGGAGTTCCGGGGGGACCAGCTCCACGTGGGCTCTCGGGCGACACCAACCTGAAGAATTCCCCGGGATGATCCTCCGCCGCGACGAGCTCGCGATTCGCCTCCTACTGCGGGAATATTTTTAGCTGCGGCCCTAGGAACCCCGAGAATCCGAGTAAATCAATGCTATCTGCGGAACGGTGTGTCGTGATTCGGCCCGCTATTTGTCTACCTTAACTACACCCACTTAAGATACCCTGGAGCCGACCTACAGACAAACGCCACGGCACCAACGGCTGTCCCCGCAAACCCGACCCGGCTAGGACGAATTATTTTTGTACTCCCGTTGCTACCTAATTGCAAGTTCTCTGCGTTATGCCAGGTCGTACCGAAGCTTCTTAAAATACACGTGATCGGTCCGATCGCTATGGAAGGGGTTCTCTGGGGGTGAAGACAGAACATGTCACCTCGTCAAGAACGACCATGCCTGATCGTGTGAATTTTATTGCGATCCTTTGACATCGTTACAAAGAAACGAAACACTTTTTAGGCATGATTCCACATGTGAGTGACGGATTTTTTTTTTCATTCACGGATACAGGTAGAGGTCGTCGAACGAGTAGCACCGGAATGGTCTCCGCCAGCAGGTGCAGTACAACCTCCCGCAGTGCTTGCGAGCCTGGAATTATACAAAGGGGCGCTACGTGAGAAGGTACGTTGTTAAACTTTCCGGTGAGCTAGAAATAAAATAGGATCGAATGTTCGAGGGCACGTGTACGAGTGATACCTGTAGCGCGAGCGGTGGCTAAATCGATTATCGCGGATGTGAGAGAGCAGAGCCGCGAAAAGCGCGGTAAAGTGTAAAAGATCCAGGCGAACGTGCGGGATAACTCGGGGCCCTTAACGGAGATTTAAGGAAGTCGTGCTACCTGGCAGATGCTGCAATATCTCTGGTGCTCCTCCGACTCCAGCCAGACGTTCTTCCTGCGAAGGGCGGGCGCGTAGGGCGCGCCACCGCCCGGTTTCCCCCAGGGTGAATAACTCTCCAGCATCTCCCGCAACTGGAAAATTACTTTCTGCAGAAAATTTAGCTCCTCACTGGAGGAATTTGCGGACACCCGCGAGTGCCGCGGACTCGATTCCCCTCGCCGTTAAATAATTGAAATTCGAAAGTTGGATCGGGTCCCGGCGAAGATAGAGACGTCGACGGCGCGACTCTTTCGAAGGGATCCGTGGGATCTCCCGGTCGATCACGGATCTCGGAACGAGGAGCGAGGGGAAGAGCCAATAACTTCCCGAGGAGAGGAGAGGAGTCCGTCGAGATGAATTTTTGCCAGGAGGCGGTCGCTCGACGGGCGCCGCATCTCATAACGGGTACTTGGCTCGCGGAGTTTACGGGAACTCTAAACCCGCAACGGATTAGCGGATTACCCGCAGCCTGCTTCTTGCAATTGTTGCGCGAGATTATGCAAATCTGCTTTAACGGTGGGCCAAAGCCTCGTTAACGTTCACACCCGCGCGACTCGCCTCCCGAGGGAAAGTTGACTTCGACGAGGGCGATCGCTCAAAAGCGCTTCGTTAAGTCGGGATCTTGGAGAATCGCCCCGGAAACCGCGGCATCAAGAACAACGAGGTAAAATCTAAACTCGGAAACATCGAGAGCAGGGCATAAAGTAAGGCTGCCGAGTGAGGTCGATAGGATGTATCGACGTTTCAAAGGTGGGGCTCTGGAGTTGAAATTCTCGGCGCGGCCGTAAATTCCCGCGGAGCCAAAAACGCAACCGCGAACATGCGGACAGCCGATACAGACCCCGATACCGTTTACCCCTAGGTTGAGCTAACCAAATTCCGGGATATTAGCGGTAAGCGCGGTCGAGGCTCGAAACGCTCGCCAGGGAGGGAAATCGGGCTTTTAGAGAAGGAGGCCAGGCCGGGTTTCGATCCATCGTAGTTTCGGGCGTCTTCGATTTCGATGGCCGCGAGTGCGACTCGAGGAGGGACTCGACGGGTCGGCCGAAGGCCCGTGACGTAAATGGCACTCCAGGGGCCGCACCCTCGGCCAGCTACCCAGCCACCTTTACGACACGTACTTCCCGCTGTTCCTGACGTTTCTGACGCAGAAGCGCGTCCTGCTTCATCCTCCACAGGGCCTGACCCTCCTCGACCATGCGGCGTACCTGCGCCTTCCGACGTTCCTCCTCCAGCTCCGGCACGTAGGTGGTTCCCAGGTACTTGCACGAGCAGTACGTCCTCCAACAGTAGTAACAGCACCTGCCCATCGCGACGAGCCTCTTCTTCGATGTGTCCTGGAAGACACGGTGGAACTTACTTCAAATCCGAGTCAAACATGGAGAACCCTCGTCAGGTCCTCGACCGGGTACTGCAGTTTGTCGTATACCTAAGTGACGTATGACTGCGAGTCACCCGGGTGCAGGAATTTTTCCGCTTCTCCGAGGAATGTCCTGAATTCACCTGTCTCGTTTGGAGTCGGAGGTGAGGTCTCTCGGCGGTGCCGCTCTGCTGTGACGAGACTGCGCGACTGTGCCTTGGCCCCTTGCGCTCGGCTCTGATTTCGACGGATCAATCGGTACCGCGATCCATCCTCGTGTCGATCCTGTCTATAGATGCAGAACTCCTAGGACGGTATCGCCGACTGCGAAATGCTGCGGTAATCTTCGACCTCCAGCCCAAACTCGGCCTGCGCAGGACGCACGCCTGGTACAAGGCCAAGGACGACACGAACGTCTCCCCTGCTTACCCTTTAAACCGAACCTCCAACCTCACGAAGAGTGGTCTTGCTCGATGAAGTATTTCGGCGATTAGACTTCTGACAAAATTCCCAGCTTATTTAGTAAGGGAAGGAAAAATGGTCACCTAGCGCGAGCCAGGTCTCTCTCGACGATTGGTCGCTCGTGGCTCAAAAAGTGCGTCTTTTTCCTGCCCTTGCTCCTCCCTGGTAATCCAAGCTCTAGTTCTTTGGGACCGGAAGGGAAGTGCGCAGGTGCATACGTCGGTGCACTCCTCGCCATTACCACCGAACTATAGTGTCATTACTCCGACGAGCGTTATTACCTGGCCACGATGTAGAGGCAGTTGGGGGTGAAAAATTGTCGCGGTAACTTTCTGCCTTAAATCATCTCGAGAAGAGTACATTCTCGCTAAGGAGAAGAACCGTTTATAAGCCAAGCCGAGGCTCTCTACTCCGAGCGCTTCATAGATTCCAACGAAACCCAGTTTCAATTTTCAAATTGATTTTCGACATCGGGGCTGAACTAATTCTTATATCTGACCTGGGAGGAGAATTTGCCTTTTATGTCTTTCGGTAATTGACCCAATTGAGGGTCTAAAATTGTTGACATTGAAATCAAATCTTGGAACATTATTCCGGGCTGTAATCACGGACTCAATAAATTCCATCAATCATAATTTCATTTGGTATGCATTTGAATAAATTGCCGACCTTCTCCTTTCGATATTCGCAAAAAAGGCGGATTCATTAATTCATTTAAATCATAGTGCGAAATTATTAGTCGGAATTTAAATTCGACCAGTCTCTATAGAATTCTATACGCGTGGCTCCATACGCGAGAACAGCTTTAAACCATAATTTTCCTAAGAGATTGCACTTATCGGTGGACGATATCTTCTCTTTCGGCTATCTACGGTCGATAAAGGTACAATATAATTTAAAGAAAAAGGGGACGGCAATGAACTGGAAGAAATTTTTTTTTTAACATTCGAACCTCCTAAATTGGCGAAGAAAAATATTTGTTGTCCAAGGAGAAAAAATTCTCATCTGCTGGTAGCCATTTTGTCGGGGTTAACGCTGAACTCCGTCGTTTCTCCGGTGCTCTCTAGATGGCGACACCTTGCAGGGCCTCCACGGATATATATCCGCTCCCTGCAATGTCTTATGCACTTGCATGCACATGCACGTCGGCATTGGTACCGGCCAGAAATTCTCAGCCTGTGCATATACATAGGTCATTGCTCCGTCCCTCCACTTCTCTCTTTCTCTCGAAGAAGGGCAACAGAATCTCCGAGTATATCGCGAGTGCATTCTGAATTGACTTTGCGACTAGTTTGACAGAAGTTAGGAGCTCGTTGGAAACTCGCCGCGAAGCTCGATCGCAACCTTTCCGGAAAGTTCGACAAGTGAAGCCCTTCACGCGACACGTTCCTCTGACTTTCGTGACATGTTTAAATTTTAATAGTAGGATACTACATAAAATATTGCAAAAATACTTAAAAATGAGAAACAACAAACGGTACCACCCGACTGGCAGAAATTTCCTTTTTTTTTTTCTCCATAGAGTTACCGGATGAGAACTCTCAGTTACTCCGGAAGTAATTTTAATGTTAACCAGTTAAAGCTTTCTCTCCGAATGTAACCTGTATAGGAAATGTAAGAAAATTCACCATTTCGTGATTTGACCCAATACTGCCAAATTATTAATATTTAAATAGCAGTCGTTCCGTTCCATTCCAGATTGTTATCGATACAGGGAGTTTAAAGAAAAAACGAAATGGCTAAAGAGATGGGTCAAGCGCGAAAGACGATCATCACTGGATGCCACGAAGTAAAATGCACCAAAGGAGCGTTCAATGCTAGTGATCTTGCCCGGGAAGAAATGCAGCCTTCTGAGAGCCCCAGCACCCTGAAAAGGCTAATGGACGGTACAAAGAAATAGCGAGATTAAATTTCTTTCACCTGTTTAGGAGGAGAATGAACAATTACCCTTAATGCTCTAGAATTTAACGACTTGACGAAGATGATGACCTGCCTTAAATACTCTCTGAAGGATTTCGGAAGTAACGCCGAAACGAGGCCAAAACCGAAAAATTGCAAATCGACCTCGGCGAACGAGACTTCGATAATTACTGACGTTACCGGCGCGAAGAAAGTTATTTTAGAATGCATTGCCGAGTTATCGGTGATCAAGAACTTTTTGGATGGGAACGAAGAAAAAGCGGAGGAGTTCCGTGAAAAATTGTGGGAGAGTATCACGCAGGGTTGTTGCACGGAATCGGAGCCACACATTCACGTTCGAATTAAGAACAATCCGATTCTTGTTACCCTTGATTCGGTAAAAATGATGAAAGCTATATACGAAAACCTCCTAAAAAAAATATGAATAATGACTTTACCGGTAGACCACGAGAACGAAGCTTGGATTATCGAATTCTTCCCGTCCCTCGGAGGTGATGATGGACGTTTGTACGATGACCCCCTCGAGTTCTCTTGCGGTATCACAAAAGGAAGTAGCTTGCGAGACCATTGTTCCTCTGACGGTCGATTCCGCCATGTCTCCTGTTCAAAGTGCAACACAGTTCAATGGTAATTATTTTCCCTGGTTCTCTAATAAAGTGATTTATAATTAAGTAATGAAAATTACATCCACGTGACAGTATCCAATGACGGCGAGAAGTCTCCCTCGAAGGAAGAGAAGAATTCGTCGAAACCCAAATGGTAGGATTTTTTCATAGGGTGCATACTTTTTACAGTATAATTTTTAACGCATGCAATTTAGGTACGAATTGTTCACGGTATGTGCAAGGAGTTCGTCGAAAACAAAGTCCGAATACTCGGAGAGCAAAACCATCGATGATCCTCCAGCTGAGGAAATAAGACCCGCGGAGATCGTTAATTACGTCGAGGAAATTACGTCAAGAAAAAGGAGAAGTCAGGAATTGCATCGGCCTGTGAAGAACGTGGAATACTCGCAGGTCGAGTGCCGGGAAAAGTATTCCACGCATGCACCGGTGATCGTACAAGGACCCGAGGATGTCTCGAAGTGTCCTTCGCGTGGTAAATTCCGCAAAGAGGTAAGGTAGAAGATGACTTCCGATGTACTATCTTGTGAATCAAAAATTCATGGCAGACTCCAGTGGAGAGGCAGCGCTCGTCTTCAGGTCCCGACGCTGAGAATTACTTGAGGCATTACTATGGAGAGGAGAAAAAAAATGGCAAACCCTCGAGGGTGTTCCACGCATACAATGCCCTGGTGAATCGAGGTGCAAACGACTTCGCAAAGTTCTACGCGGGCTGGTCCTCGCAGCCGGATTTGGAAGCCTCGATTCGTCCCTTCTATCCCGAACGATCCTCGAATTCTCGCCTCGAGCATCGTACAACGGAAAATCCAGCCGAAGCGAAGAAGGCCAAATCCATAAGTTTCCTTCGCTCGAGCAAATCCCACGGCAGTTACGTCGTCTGCGACCCGAAGAAAGAGAAGACGAAGGTGAAGTTCAAGTTGCGCCCCCAGCTTACCTAATCCTCCATTCATTTATGTACTTGTTTATAATCATTGCAGGAAACGTTGCGATATAAAGACAAAAGGGACCACAAGCTGGAAGAGAACCTGCTAAGAGACATTCACCGATGCTTGCGATACTATTTGAGACACCAAAATTACTCTTGCGACCCGGAACGCCCGAAGCCTGGGGCAAAGTCGGAGTCCAAGAAGCCTTTGGAAATCTCGCCGTATAAGAAACAATCTCCTTCGAAAAAAGGAAAGCGTACGTTTCGATTTACCGTGAATAAGCAGGCAGTGGGTGTCTGCGATCTCGCCGAGCAGGAAGGCCAGGAAAATGGCTCCATTCGGAACGACGTTTCCGAGCGAGTGATCGAGCCTTGTCGAAAGATCGGTCAAACCGATGCCCACGTTCACACATGGTCAAGCATGAAACTGCAAGATCAACGACGACTTGCCGAGAAGCTCCTTCACTTTAAAGAAATTGGAAACAACGGCAAGGACTTCTCCAGGAAATCGGAGCGGCGAACCAAGGAAATACGGTCCACGACGATTTGTGGTCTGTGGAAAAGAAAATCGCTATGCGATGGCGCGTCCGTTATCGATCTCGGGATTTTTGAGTTTGCCAACCTTGAATATTGGTAATGCCATATTTACGGAATTTTTAATTGAACTTCTGAACCGTATTTCAGGTCAATATTTAAATACCGGATGGACTCGGCGACAAAGGACCACGGTCGAGGGTCGCATTTCTACCACCGTGAGTAGATATCGGTCTTGTTAACGACATGTCGGAAGTACTTTAACGGATATTCCGTGCAGACCTTTGATGCGCCCGCTTTGCCGAATGGGTCGTTTTATTCCGAAGCCGTAACTCGAGTTTCGAGAGCCGAATCAAGGGTTTCCAAATCAGGGACCCATGAAGATAAAATTGGGAACTCCAAGGCTTCGTTACGGTCCGGGTACAGCTCGTTCTCGAGACGTTTATCAACGAACGACCGAGTGACTATAGAAGAAAATGTCACGTATCAGAGAAAGGACGATTACGACAAAAGGAATAATCAATGGAAACAATGCGACAAACTGACGCAAAGGGCAGATAAGGTATTCGATCTTTTCTTTGCCATTTGAATATCGTTAACGGTGTGTCTTTATCACAGATAGTGTGGGCACTGGCAAGAGTTAACGTCTTCGATGATGGTTATCGATCGTGTGACATATTAGAAACGACACCGGTTCCTCCAGGAAAGAAGATAAATATAAAAAGGATCAATGCCTTCAGACTGGGTCAAACTTGTCATTGTAAACGCGCATGCTAGTTTAGTGACGTACAAATATTTGGGATTCTTGTATCATCGTTGTCTGTACCATACCGTGATGTTTTAGTAAATCCTTTTTTAACTACTAGATAAGCGTTTATTACAGTCGATACACGTGAGGTGCTGCATGAGGAGAAACACGAAATACCATCGGTAACAAATGATTTGGTCCGTTTATACCCAACGACCTTTCCTCGTTCCACATTTAACATTGGTCAGTTGAACCGCGTTTCTTTCGGTCTGGCACATTACCGTCCGGTCTGCTGGACATCTTATGTGTTCCAACCTTGATAGAATGCCTCGCCGTTTACTCGTTGATTTAGATCCCATTTTTCTCGCATGTTCGAGTTGTACCGTGGAACACGTAATACCGACGTCGTGAGTATTTACTTTTACGGAAGATTGTATAGTCCGGACACGGGGCACGGGATTACAACTTTTGTCAGCTGACGAGACAATTTTGTTGGAAACTTCGGTGACGGTTTGTACACTTCTGGTGCATGGCTGAACATTTTTGGACATCGCTCCGGAAATTGCGACCGAGTTTTGGACACACAAATAACAACAACTTTTTGCATGATAGGCAGCCAGGTGCGGTGCCATCGAGCCCTCGAGTTTAGAAATTGGCAAACCACTCTGTTCCGTTTGATGATGATTATCATGTTTAGATTTCCCCTTTTTTTTCTTCTTACCCTTCTTCTCTTTCCTCCTCTTACCTTCCTGATCTACGGGTGCGTCATTTACGGACACTTTTAGTTTCGAGAGTTTTCCCCTTTTTACTGCCTTTTTAGATGCACTCGAATTAATAGAATCTACCTCTGACCGCGACATAGAATCGGTATTTATTGATTCCGCATCGGTCTCATCCGACGTCGCTTCATTTTCCCTTTTCCAACATAATCTGAAAAATGTTCGCTTTCGTTTCTCCTTATCGACATCTTTATCGTATTTCTTTCTCCTACATATGGCGCATCCTTGGGACTTACTTTCGGAATTTGCTTCAAAAGACTGAGATTCCGCGATATTAATTGTACCGTGCGGATACGTCTCGTGTCTCCGTCCTGCTTCGTTATAACGAATATTGGGGGGTAAATCTTTTTTCTCGGTGTGGTTATAATTTTTTAATACATTTTTTGACGGCTGCACGACATTCCTCGTCTGCCAATTATGGTTAGCCATGTACCGGTTCAAGTATTCATCTAATAAATAAATTTCCTGCTATTACAAAGGCGAATATTCGACCAAATAATTTTTTTAACGCGCGACCTACATTTTCATAAAACATTGTACCTTTAGCCCTTATTTTTCAGTCTATGCATATTAATAAAAAAAATCAAGTATTAGTAAAAAAACTACGTAAATTACCAAGGGTATCTTACTTACCCAGCCCTGGACATAACCCAAGAAATGCAGGAAAAGAAGGCATTCACATCCGTTACCGTACCTACGGGATAAGAGACCCCGCCATCTTGGGCCATCTCGTGGCTCCATCTCTCATCCTTCTGCTGAGATACATCCTCGTTCACCGCCACCGCGTCGATATCAAACTCCCTTCAAAATACTCCTCGGGTAAACAAACCCTCCCCCGTTAAATCCTAACCGCCCAAAAGCCATACATTCCGCAAATAAAAGTCCGTAAAACATTGTCAAGAAGCTACAAAAAGAGACTTTAAACTTGAACCTCCCATGACCTCCTTGAATCGAGCCGGTCATCTCGTAATCGTCTTCAGGGTTCAAGCGCGACGCAAGAAAACGTGCTCGATATTCCAGGCAATTAGTCAGTTCGTTTCAAAGGAAGCGAAAATTCCGGTCGGTCCTCTTTTTGGAATTCCCGCGTTGGGTCGGGGCGCCGCTCGAGCGAGGCGCGCGCAGGCCAAGATGGCGGCCTCGCCAAGATGGCGCCGCCCGCGCGTGTCGCCGTCTGCTGGCAGTAGCCAGAGTGCCGAGGACAAAGCGAGCCTAGCGGTGGTCGGGGCTGCGCGGTGGTTGGGTTCGAGAGCCTTGGCAAAGGCCGGAGGTCCGGGGCGCGAGTGTCGGTCGCGTCAGTCACAGTGGGGTGTCCGATGTCGCGCTTGGTGATGCGTCCGGTGAAGGCCGCGCTCGGTGCGCGTCGCTGCTCGGCCTCGGCGCGTTGAGAGTGGCGGGAGGCGCGCGCAGGGCAACCTCGGGAACCTCGGTCACGAGCGACGGGCCCGCGATGGCGTAGCTCGAACGGACGCTCCTCGAGTGCAGCCCGCGTCCCACCTAGACCCGTCGCGTTCGCGGCCCTCGGCGGCTCGGAGGGACGGAGACGGCGAGCCCGCGCCAGGGCCGAGAGGGAGCGAGAGGAGACGACGGTGGAGGTGTCGCCCCGCGTTTCGTGCCGACGGCTCGGAGCTCAAGCGAGAATATGGTGACGATGCTCAGTGATACGTGCGGATACGTGCTCTTCCTCCTGCTGCTCGTGCTGGTCCCCTACATCGAGAGTGGTGAGTACCTTCTTTCTCTACCGCTCCGAAATACCCCGCGGATTTTTCTTCCCGCAATGACCAACCTAACCTCGAAACGCGAACGATCCATCAACAAGTGATGCGGAAGTGGAGACTCCCGCCGCGTCTGGCTCTGGTATTTAAATCCAAGGGACGGGGATATCCCTCGTTTCGAGTCGAGTCTTTAGAAAACTATTAATGGGGGAGAAGGTGGTTGCCAGGGAGGGGAGGGGAATAAAAGTTAATATACGATCGTGGGTCCGCGAGGGACAAGAATGATCCATGGGCGAGCTCGCGGGATCGAACTCGATCCGCCATGTTGGTCGGGGGAACGCGCGACACCGAGGCGGAGGACTAACGGGAGGGTAATGTACGCGGTAACGAATGTGTGAGGAGGATGTAACACACGGCGGACTCATTTGACGTTCCGACGCTCCGGCGTGGGTCGGTCGCCAGGCGGCAGGGCGCGTCTAGAATTCGCGAGATGATTCATCGTATCGGGCTACCGAGAAACCGCAACCTGTTTCGCCTAGCGACGGTACGCCGAGGAAGGACCGACGTCACGAGCCGATAATACGAATTTAACTGGAAATCGCTCCGACGCCTCGGAGGTCGAGGACTGATAATCGTTTTCGAAAAAATCCATCTACGCGAAGCTAGATCTATCAACGATCGTTCGCTAACCGTGAGCAGATGTCTAAACCGCGAATCCGCCTTCTGAAGACGGTTTTGTCTTTTTTCTGGGTTGAACTTAGGATGTAAACGGTGCAAAAACTCCCGGCCGCAACGAGGGCCGTTTCGGTTAGCCCGGTATTCCTGTCGGAATTAATCCCATACGGTCGGCTACACCTCGGAATCCGCAGAACCGATAAATGATTTCACTCTCGAAATTCCATTCGATCGACCGGCTGGCCGCGTTATGAATTTTCGATTCGCGGGGAAACCGCGCGGCGGGGACGCTTCAATTGGAATAAAGGCGAGCTCTCCCCTTCGGTGGACTTTTTCGAGACGCTATCGCGTGATGACGAATCCGGATGCAGCGAGCGGGCGACGAGGCCGGGATTTCGGCGAAATCGCCGCAAAGCGTTCCGCGATGTGCATCTGCTCCCGATAAAATCGTGACCTCATCTTGCGTCGAGCCGACGGGTTATCGTTACCAGGAAGCGTCGACGTGGCACGTCGCGATAAAGAGGGACTCGCCTCTCTTTGTTATCGGGGCGTTATCAGAGGCCGGCCACCGGAGGAGCCTTCCGTGGGAACGGGGACGAGTTTCGGCGGAGTCTTTTCTTTCCTCCGGTCCTGGGGAGCCTTCCTGGCGGGATATCCGAGGGAGATGAAAATCGGAGGGCACGCGATATATCCCGGCCGAGGGGATTCCGGTTTACGGCGTCGTATTCTTCCCGGTTAAACGGAGAACGGCGCTGCGATTCGGATGCGGGGAATTTACGTAGACGCGCCGATTTACGGGCGATTCCCGCGAGGGGTCTCCGTTACATCGCAATAATCCCCGATCTTTGGCCCGCGATGGCAGTTTGCCGCGCGCGGAAGTCCCGCTCCCGGAACAGATTGGAAATATTCCGTTTACGCGGCGATCCCGAACCGGAGGACGCGCGGATAGGACCTCGGGTTTACGGGGACGGATTTTACGCGCGGAGCGCCCGTTCGGCTCCGAAGTCGCGGAATTTTCTTTCGAGGAAGGTATTCCACGGGGACGACGGAGGACCTAGGGCGGGAATAAAGTCGTCTCGGGGCGTCTCGCAGGACACGGAAACAAATCTAATCGCCGGGAGAATCTCCCCTCGTGCTGCCCTCCGACTTCTTCCTTCTGTCCTTGATTAAGATCAGCGTTAATGAAATCTTACGACTCCGAGACGAGTCCGCTTCCAGGGGGAGCACTTCGCGCCCTTCTCGCGTCGTTTTCTTTTCACCTTCCCCCGAAGTGCCTCTCCCGGTCGCAGCGACGACACTCCGAGTCGTCGCTAGAATTTCGGAGGAAAGTCGGTCCATCGTCGAATTCTTTGGAATTTTTTCGACACCGGTCAACTGAGATTTCCACGACGATGAGACTCGCGCCCACGCTTTGACCGCACTTTGGCCGCAAGCGGGTTTTTACGTCCGGCTAGCGGGCCGTTCCCGGCACGCTCCGTGAGCCGTTAATGCGTTCAAGTGGGAGCTGGACACCATTCGCCGGGAATTAATTCCCGGGCCCCGAGTTTGCGTTCACGGCTCGTAAAAATCGGACGACGACGCACGCGCGACGATTTAACGAGCCGCAATATCTCGGGAGGATATCGACGCATGCGTTTTCTCGAACCGAGGGAAGCTCGCTTCGGAGGAAAAGGTCTCCCGGTCGTTTCGGCTCGCCGCAACGGTTCCGGGGAGCGGGATCGACGCGGGGCAGAGGAGGAGGAGACGTTTCGGAAGAATGGCCGCAACGGGTGCGGTCCGGCGTAAATTTCCGTTACCGCGGCCCCCGATAAATTCCCGTTACCGTCGCCGTCCCGCCGAAACGCGTCCAGGGCTTTTTTCTTGGGCGTTTCCTTCGGGGTCTCCTCGAGAGGAAGAGAGAAGTTCTCGAGGGTGGCCAGGATTTCCGGGGACGAGCTTTCGGGGAATTTCGTCCCGCTAATTAAGGGCGAGGGGTCCGGTCCTCGCGGCGGAAACGCAGGGTCGCGCCGCCGGGGCGGTAAGCCGCTTTGCCGCGGCCCGGGCACGATAATATTTGCAAAAGGGAAGCGCAAAGAGACCGAGACCGCTCGGGAGCTCCACGGTTCGACGACCCCCGACCCCGACCCCCCGGGGGCCCCGGGCCCCCTCGCAAGGCAAGCGCCGGAACGGGGCCGTGCGAACGGGCGGACGTTCGGGGAATAATTGGATTTGTAACGAGTACTCGTTTTATTAATGGAACGACCCGGGGATCGAGGAACCGGCCGGCGGGAACGCACTCCTAGAGCCCTTCGCGACGGTTTCCAGTGTTTACTTTTGACTTCTCCGCGGTCCTTCCTTTTGATCCGATTATTTGGAGACCGAACTACGGAACCGCGGCGGTCTTTCCGATCCGTCGTGGCTCTCCGACGGTGAGCTTGCAGGAGGAGAGCGACAAGTGGGCCAAGGTTGGAGGAGGATTACCCACCGGCGCGCTCCGCCTCCGAGATTAACCGGGAACCGATGGGTATCGATTCGCGGCGATTAATCGCCCGGCACGGGAAAGTAACGGGGGCGGCCTCGGAAAACTAGGCTTGGGTGGATTTCTCAGGGCACCGGGAGATGGCGGGAATTTGACGGCTGGGGGTTGGTCCATGGAGTCGGGAAAAATTCGAGGGGGGTTTCATGGGGATAAACGGCCGAGAGGTGTTTTCGGGGCAACTGGAAATTCGGGAAAGGCCGAGGAGACGCGCCGGCTCCTCGGGAACGCGGAATGGGAGGAGGATCCCAAGGGATCCTCGGAAATTCGGGCTCTCGGCGAACTCGGGTGGGATTGGATCTTCCTCTCGGGGTGCTCGCGTATTCAGGGATGACGCTCGACGGGGAACTTGCCACTCGAGATTCCCGGGGACCGGTCCGGCCGAGTCGGGTAATATGCAAAGGCTCTCGCCCCGGTCGTCCGGGAATGCCCGGCCACCGGTCCTTTTCGAGCCAATCAGGGATCGATTCCCTCGACCGAGCCCGACCGAGTTCCCGAGGGACCTCTTCGCGCCCTGGCGTCGGTCCCTCGGGACGCCTCGCCTCCGGGAGAGGAGAAACCCGCGGGCACCTCCGATCGGTCGATTTTCTCCCTTGGAACGACGCGCAAAATTCTCAGGACGATATTCCGGCGTCCGGTTCTCGGGGAACGGCGATCGGGACGGATCCCGATAAGGATAAGGTCCCTCGTTGGATCGCGTTCGTAAAGCTCGACCCGTTATCGCGGCTCCCGTCCTATCCCCCGGGGCTAGACGAGGCGAGGCGCGAACGCGGGATCGTCTTCCTCGGGAAAAGGCGATTGGGAGTCCTTTGGAAGCGCTCCAAATACTCCGAGGCGCTTGATAACGCGAATTACCTCGCATTAATCGAGCCTGCCCGGGATAATGAAACTCCGCTCCCCGAAGGAGCGCCGGGATTCTAGGTACCTACCACTTTGAAGCCACCCGATGCACCGAGGATCCCGGGGACCTCCGGGACCCCGAGATAGACCGCGGGCCTGACCTCCGCGACCTGCGAGATCCTAACCTCCACTCCCGACTTGATCTCCCTAGAATTCACCCTGAAAGGGAAATAAAAATAAAATACCGCCTAAAATCGAGGAAATCTCCTGTGGGAATGGCAACGGCTGCGCCCGATAATGCGCGATTCGTACGTGCCACGGCATTTGCGCCTTCTCCCTATCGCGTGCGGTACGCGGTACACGTACGTACTCTCGGTGCTCGGGTAAGCGAACTGGTTCCCGGCGAAAAAAGTCGACTCCCGACCCACTCTGTGCCGTTTCGCTGAAAATACTAGGCGCGCCGAAAGAAAAATCCAGCGGTTTCAAGGAATTATTTCTCGAGCGCTCCGGACCCTTTCATTTTTTTTTTTTCTTTTTCTTTTTTCATCCTTCTCTCGTGGGCGTCGAGCGCGAAAATGTCTACCGAACGACCTTCCACCTCGCGCCTAGGAGTGACTCACTAGACCGGGATTTGCTCGGTCGCCTAGACCTCTCTCGCGACCGGCTTTCCTTGGGTTACGAGCTGGCTTTTCGCGCGATTATCGGGCCGTGTCCGTCTTTAGCAGGCACGCGCGACTGCGCCTTACTCTCGCGCGCCGGAATCTCTCGTAGAAATCCCGGAATATGAACGCTGGAAGTGCCTTCCGCAAACCTATCGGTCTCGATAATTTTTTATATATATATATATTTTTTTCGTTCCGTTATCATTTTTTTTTCCTCGCTTAACGCGAGACTGTCGAGGTAATGACGCGCTGCGACTGGCCTCGCTCGAGGTCGTCGAAACGTCGATCTCGGCGCCTTCCCTTTGCGAGCCCGA